AATTGCAAATGCAGCATCGTGTGTAGTGCTTCACACTGTCCCTCATCATCACCTGGGCCTCCCTATTGTCGGTCCAGTCTTTCGTTATCATATGGGTGGGGATTAAAATGTGGATTATAAGGTTGCTGCCTAAGTGCAAAGGGGCCATTATTTTGATGTGATTCCTGTCTGCGTTGCCAGTTACCTTGTCTGTAAGAGCTCTGCTTACGCCTAGTGGCAGGAGCTGGTCCTGTGTTCTGTGGTTGAGATCTACCTGCTGCTGATTTGCATTCCGTCCTCCAGTGTCCTATTTTTCCACAATAAAAACATACGTCTCCACTCCTATCTCTCCTTCTGAAATCTCCCTGCTGCGCTTGTTGAGGGGGCGGGGCCCCTGCATACATCATTTTTTCACTTTCCTCTGAGCCTTCAACATCAAAGTTCAACAACATCTTAACACTTTTAGCCTTCGTGCTGTTGGGGAAAAGATCTGCACCAGCTTTTGTTTTGACAAGTGTGATAAAGTTCTTTATTTTCATGTCATAGAGATTATCAGTGGCAGTCAGCTTCAATAGTTGTGAACATTCTGGATGAATATTGTTTAAGAATGTTGTTATGAAAATCTGATCATTTCCTCCTTCAGGCATGCATGCCTCATTAGTCCAGCAGTGTGTGAAACGTTTCATAAACACTAGAATGGATTCATCTGGCTTTTGCTTACACATGGTTACTGCATTTAAATCAATTTTATCTCTAGACATTGTGAGCAGAAATCTCTTTAGATTTTGAAAAAAGGCTGTGATTTTGTCATCATTTATCCACAAAAACGAGGTGGTGTTGGCTGCTTGGTCGTTTTTAGGGTCTAGTTCCTCTACTTCTTCAATAAGCTGAGATTCAGTCACACCTGGGATTCATTGACATAATATATATCTATAGTCAGGCCCACCCAAGTGGTGGTATCTGGTACTTCTCTGTAATGCAGAAACAAAGGCTGTAGGATTTTGTAGAGGATCGGGAAGTTCTTTAATGGTTGCTGCTAACTCTGAAATTTTAGGGGGTTGAATGCAACACATGTCCCCTATTATCATGAACGGGAGGGAGGTGCTGACGTCATTAAATTGTGATCCCTGCTTTTCTTTATAACGGGTGTTTTTGTGGGGGCCCTCTTGAGTTTTTTCCTCTTTTTTCTGCTTTAAGTAGTTCCTTATTAAATTTCTGGTGTTAGTTATTGCTTTTGGCACAGTTAAACCATTCGCTACTCTAGTGTGGCGCTGAACATGATTATCTATGACAGAAACGGCTTCCTGCAGTTCGGCTTCCGTACGTTCAGTTAAAGGATCTTTCATGATTTCCTCACACTCTGTCATTAACTGTTTTGTTTGCTTTTTATGTTCCTGTAACTCTCTTTCTCGTTCAGTGTATTCTCGTTCCTGTCTTTGATCTAGGTTAAACCAGTCATCTTCTTCTGATTTAGGTGTCATTTCAGTGCCTTCCTCACTCTTTTGGGATTCTGCTGTTAAATCAGGATATACGCGCTGATGACGTGCAGCCGCCGCAGCAGCTATTAATTCTGTTTTTTCATCATAAGGCGGCGGAGCCGTAGGTTGAACGGATGGGCATATAAGGTAGTTTTTTCTGCAGTGGATTTACTAGAGCCTACACTGGCTTGATTTAAAGCATTTACGTCTGGCTCGGGTCCTTTTTTCCATAGTGGTAGCATGCGATTGGTCACATCACGACATTCTATCATATATTTTTTACAGGACTTTTTAATCAGCCTACTTTTCTTATCACAAATAGTATTTAACATTTCTACTGACCTGTTTTCTGGCGATAATCGTTCGGGATAGGGCTCCGGAAATACATTAGGATGCATTAAAGTTATAGTTCTTAAGTTCGAGACGAAATCAGTCACGTAAGCACTTCCGCATGTTCTGGATACGTAATCATGGAAGTCTTCATTGATTCGCGAGCGTGGGTTAAACGTAACCGGAAGTGGGAGTCGTACTGAGCCGCTATTTGTGATTTTATATTTTATTTTTTTCGGTTTTACAGTTAATTTTGAGTTTTTATCGGACCCGTCTAAGGTCTTTGAATTATTCTGACCCATGGTCAGTGATTTCCAGAGGGGTTTAGACGCTTTGAAGGATTTAAGTTAGTATCTATTTTTGCTGTGGCACACCTGAGGTTACTTGATTTTTTGCTAGCAATTTTATGTTTTTAGTGAGCAACTTCTCACTTTTTAACGAGCAACTTCTCGTTTTATGACCCCAGGCAACTTCCTGTGTCCTTTCTGCTGGTGAGCAACTTCTTAGTTTATGACAGCAGGCAACTTCCTGTGTCCTTTCTGCTTTTATTTTACAAAACAACAGGCAACTTCCTGTGTTTCTATGTGGGCCACTAAATAAGGCTCCTCAGTGTATCCCACTTGTTACTATGTGGGCCACTGAAGAAGGCCTCGTCAGCGTATCCCGTTTCTATGTGGATCACTGAGAAAGGCATAACACAGTCTTATAAAATAAAAAGACAAGTGCCTACCTTCGTCAGGATCCCACTTCTGACACCAAAATTGAAGGAAACTGTTTCCAGGGCCTACTCCGTGGATCGGCTTCCTCCGAGGCGTGGACGTCTATCAGCTAGTGATGGGCAGATGAAGCCCCATGAAGCACTGAAGCTTTTCATCCAATTGGTTCACCCCAACGCGAAGCTTCATGAAGCTTCATTTGCTCTAGCAGGACACCTACTGGACGTAAAAATAATAGCTGGCATGAATTTGAAGAGTGTGGCATTTTGCACACAGCCTGTAAATGTCAACAACAAAAGGAGTGTGTAAAACATCTATATTGTAGTGATGGCAGTATACTGTGTATATTTATAGTGGCAGTATGGGAAATGATTATTTGGAAATGCTTGAAATGGAAATGATCATTTACTGTGAGGTGAGGTGTGGTTGGGGTGTGGACAGTAGTTGTGCTTTTGTAACGTTGAGGTATGGACAGCTACACACTGAGGCTTTGAGCCTCAGTCCTGCCTGTTCACATTTTATTCTGTAAAAACTAAATTTTCACTGCTTTTACGTCCCTTTTAGTGGGGAGAACATAGCTAGGATTTAATGATTTAACACATCTTTTGAATCCTTTGTCCTCCACAATGCTAAATGGCTGGGAGTCCTCAATCACCATGCTGACCAGGTCTTCATCTATTTGAGATTGTTCTCCTGAGGAAAGACAATAAAGATAAAGCACAAATATAAATATCACACACGTAACTTATAACAGTTGTATAATATTGTTATATCATTTAGTAACATTACTGCATGCTATATTATCATTGCATTTGATGGCTCACCTGGTCTTGCTCCACAATCGGTGTTCCTCTTATTCTCATGCAAAGCTCTGTAGTGCCTAAGCATGGATGAGGTGTTGTTGTTGTCATATCCCAGCTCCCTGGCACATAGCAAACACTTCACCTTGTACAAAAGTCAAGACAGCTCAACATAAATTGTATTGCACCATCAGTATCATGACAATACATCTTCTGTAGAAATTTACATACCTTGTTGGGAGGAATAAGATCAAAATGTTCCCACACAGGGGAGGACATCCTCCTCTTCTTAGCTGGCTCCATTCTCTCCTGACTTTCTCTCCTCACTCTCATAAACCTCCAAACGGTCTCCAAACTCTCTCTAACCGCAACTCTCCATCAAACACCCACATTTTGAATGAAGTCTGAGGGGTTTATATCGCTGTCATATCTCGCGGCAAAGTTCGAACCACTTCATGAACCAGTCACGTGGTACAGCCGGGCAGCGAGGCTTCGGACGTCATCATTTTCAGCTCCTCCCATAAATGAAGCAAGCCTCGATACGCGCTTCGCGGAAACGCCCCCTCCATTACTCGACACACGCTCCGAAGCCTCGATACAGAACGTCCCATCACTACTATCAGCAGAGAATGTACCTTCACCTATCAGCAGAGAATGTCCCTTAGTCTGTAACACAGTCAAATATATTCTCAAGTAATATTCAAGCATGCCATTCAGCGTGTTAGTACGAGCTCGGGAGCAGCTTGGGAGAACAAGAAAACAGAGACTGCTTTAGATTGTCTTCCCAAAGTGACTCAACTTTATTCACAAGTACAACAGTTTATATAGAGGGTAAAATTCATGAGACAGCAGATTATCAGTTTAAACCAGTACAGACCAAGATAAGGCAGCGTCTTCCTGCCCTTGGGTGAAGAAGCATCCTTTGTGTAGTTTATTAGTTCAGCTACAATTGTGATTATCTCAGCGACATATTTTCAAGGCACAAAACGAAGAGTTCTTACATTAGTGAAATCTGAAACAAACCATTTGGCCTTCAACAGGCGTCTAAAAGATTAAGAAACTAATGTAGCTGAGGGAGTGATCTCTGTGGTATTTCAACCTTGTACCAGCCTGTGATTCTCACACATCAATTCTTGGGTCAAAGAGAAAAACACTGAAACAAAGGGGCCTTATTGAATGACAGAGTTTTCCTGCATGATGTCACTATAAAACAATATCCAGTAAATGCTCCCATGGTACTAAAATACCTAACAAACACAACGTCACATTAACCCAGCAGAAAGTTATTACCCAAGAGATGGGTTAAATAGGCAACCTCATCTGGGAATTGCTGTGATTACAACAATAAACTGCAGCAACAATTTGCGCATGTTAAACCGAGAGATGTTTAACCAAGCTGAGTTTTGCACAAAGCAGTCGATATAAATGTTAATGTATAAATTTGGCAAGTAGGGGATGAGGAGAAGGTTAAATGACTTTTCCCCGATTGGACTTTTTATAAGCATTTTCATACACGAACAGCCGGCTCTCCGGCTGGGTTATGATCTCGCGAGAGTTTAGTCTGACGACTTTATGAACTCAGAAACCTATCGGATCCAATCTAACATGCTGATGCAAAGACCGAGCGCTTTCATTGGCTGAAAGGATCGGTTGCGTAATCGTTCAAGAACTCTTAATTGGTCCGAATCGGTCGCGAGCGTATGCGCTGTCCAGGCTCTTGTCTGCAAGCTAGGGAATAACCGGTATGTATAGTTAGCTAATTGCGAACGTTTTAGTTTTAAATATTAGCCCTCAGGTCGAAATGGATGCTCTCCTCTCCCTGCTCTTCTCCTCAGAGGAAGAGGAGCTGTACATGTTGGACCGCATGGCTTACTTCATGTTTTTAATGGCAGCCTGCACTTTTATTACTTTGCTGTTTGAAAATGTTCCTTACGGGCGGTATGCTACAAGCAAGTATGGATTTCCAGTTAACGCCAGGTTCGCCTGGTTCGTCCAGGAGCTGCCAGCCTTACTGCTCCCTATGTGTCTGCTACTCTGGACATCTTCTTCCAAGACGTCTTTACTACCTAATCAGCTCCTCATTGCCATGTATTTCCTTCACTATGTCCAGAGGTAAGCAACCGTGGGCAGTCACGTTTATTTATTTATACAGTGTTATAAGCAGGCTTGCGCAAGGAGCAGTGCTTAAGTACCCCTTCAACTGGGCAAAGAAACGCCTGATTGATTATGCAACTCAGATACAGGAGATGTCAAAATGTGCACAGATGAATACATTTCAGTATAAACATGCCATTACTCAAAATAATGTGTTCTTGTTGTGTTTTTTCTTCTTCTTCTGCAGAGCCTGCATTTATCCATTTTTAATCAGAGGAGGGAAACCGACACCGTTCGCTTCATTCGCTCTGGCCTTTGTGTTCTGCTGCTATAATGGTTTCATGCAGATCAGGTACCTGAGCCATTATGCTGAGTACCCAGCATACTGGGTTACACATCCATGCTTCCTCATTGGTAGGTGTCCTGTTCCCTGACTGTTTGCAACAGGAATGTGAATTATTTTGTTGTGTGCAGAAGTTAAAATGTTGTACTGAGTGTAATTAGTATTTTATAAGTGTACATAGGGATGGGAATTGATAAGAATTGAGCTAATATCCATATCACTTATCAATTCCATCCCTTATTCATTCTCTTACCGATTCTCACTGGATCTTCCTTGAGAATCACCCCCATCGCTAAGCAGCATATCAAAGACATTAAAATCATGCAAATTAATTGCATGTTGTCTGGTCAAATGTTTGTCCATGTTGGAGGTATTTCCCCCTCTTTGTTGTGATCAGTGTTGGGGTCGTTACTCTAAAAAAATAATTATCACACATATTACAAATAAAACATTTATTAAAAGTAATGCAGTACGTTGATTAATTACTCCCAGGATTCAGTAATTTGTCTGAAGCAGAATCAGAATACTTTATTAATCCCCAAGGAAAATTCTGTATTTAAGTTAAAAGTAAAGGACATAGAAATAAATAAGAAAAAAAGTTAAACTAAAGAGAAAAGACAGGAGCAACTATAATAGGCTGCATGCATGGTTGACGCATGCGCACTCAAGATGATTTGTTATCCTACTTGTTACATTACTTTCATGTTACTCTGTAAAATGACCCGTAACACATTGTTTCATAATTACCATTTAACAATATAAACCTGTAAGCTATAGTTTCACATACCGACAAAAACCCCTGTCCTAATGACAGGGGTTTTTGTCCTTGGTATTGCACAAAACAAAGATAAAAACCAACACAGCGACTTCAAAGCGATCTCCACTGTGATTTTACTGTAGAAACAGCGACTGCAGCCTGACTGCTCATCAATTTGTTACCGGTTGAAGTTCAAGGTCTGGTTGATGGGCTGGCGTCGGCATTCACTCAGCTTTCACTGTGGTTCTTGGCTAGCCAAGCGTCCTGGATGTAGTTTCCACTTTACAATTGCACTCTCATCCTCTTGTGCAATTAAAAAATAACCACGCTGTAGACTGCATCAGTTGGATTACATAGTATCAGTTTTAAGTAGGGGAAGGTGAGGCTCTGCTGATTGCATAGTCCTCTACATGCACTGTGCTGTGCTGAAAACTGTCCAGCAGAGCATCTGCTGGACAGTTTTCAAAAACCCATATAAAGCAACATATACACATGTGGCAGTATATCTGGGATAAGTCCAGCCATGTATCTATCCACCCATTTTCTGCTGCTTATCCGGGTCATGGAGGCAGCAGCCTAAGCAGACGAGCTAAGACCTGACTCACCCCTTCCTCCAGCTCATCTGGGAAGACTGGAGGCATTACTGAGCCAAAAGAAAATATCTGTGTTATCTAGTAGAATGGTTACGAGCTGTTCTGTTTCGGTATACACTGGAAGCCCAGATGTTCTTGTTTTACATGTTGAATGCCCATGTGGGCATTCTATGTGATCTGTGGGTATCAGGTGATTCGTCCACATGTATTTGAGTTTTTCTAAGTGAGTGAGAAAGATGTTATGTATAGTTGTTGGTGTTTGTACACACATAAAGGTTTTTGAAAGGTAGAATTATCAGATTTGTCAGTGGGGTGGCTGCATGCCAAATAACCCCAGGTTCAGTCATCAACTCATCAACGAGACTCAGAGATACAAGGTTACAAAGGTGCACTTTGCCCACAACAAAGTGACCTGTTGTGGGCACTTTGCCCTCTTTCTGTCTGAGAACCACAGCCGGAGTGTGAGCTATTTTTGAAAAGTCAGGAAATGATAGATGTGGGTGGATATTTGGAGAGCTGTACCTCACAGATGACAGTGATTACACAGTTTAATACGTTCGCCAATTTGTGCACATTGTCTAAAGCATCATGTATGTATGTATTTTATTTATAACAACAGTTTCTCAACGCAGTTTTTCTTTTAAAACCTTCCCTTTTGTCCTGTTACAACTGGGAAAATATCGAGTCTGTATGTGACCCTAAGTTGGTTTAGCAGGAAAACTTAAAATATGATATTTTAAGGTTGCTTTCGGAAGGAAACCAGGAGTATTCATCAAAATGTGGAAATGCTAAAAGAAAAAGAAACTCAAAGGTTTGCTCTCTGGCTTTTTGTCAGTACAGTCACTTGCTGAAACAGCTTTTGCTTTTGTCTCCAGGCTCGGTACTGTGGTTCGTCGGCTGGTTTATAAATGTACAATCTGACCACATCCTTAGGAACCTGAGAAAGCCCGGAGAGACTGGTTACAAGGTTCCCAAAGGTAAGAGCTTCAGTCAGACTCTGACATTTTATTTAGACTTGGGATTTTAAACTCATTTTAATCTCCAGTGGGTCAAACCAGTGAAACTCTTTCTGTCAGCGTAAAGGAGTTTAGGTACACATTTTGTCCCTGAGATAACTTCATAGGAAAAAGTGGTGTCGTTTCAAGGTTGTCTCAGTTCTTCTATCTGTTCTAGAAATGCTGCTGTGTTGAAGAAATAATCTGTCAGCACTACTCAAGCTCAGTTTAAGCTGTAAGACATAAATGTTTAAAATTACATAAAGTTTGTCACCCAGACTGTCCTGTAATTGTACAGCAGAAAGTTTTGTTAATTCGCAATAAAATAGCCTTTTAAAAATTGTGGACTTGTTGTTAAAAAACAACCAAAAAAGTGTAGCGTCTGTGTTGAGGGGGAGGAAAAAAAATGAAAATACAGTTCAAAATGTGTGCACTCCTTCATATTGTCCAAAACTGTCCATTGGGCCTAATTGGAGTCTGTGCCGGGCTGATTCTGGGCCCCAGGCCTAATGTTTGACACCTTTGATTTAGACTATTTAATTTTCTGTTCAGAAATAAATTCAACAGCAGGTGTCCAGTAATTAAGGATAAATAATTTCTGTAAGTGTAGTCTTAAGTTTTTGCATACTCAGCCTAAAGTAAGCAATGCAACATTTTTGTTAGTAATTTGATCATTAAACGACGAAAGAAAACAATATATAATGAAATCATTTCATTAGGTTTTCATTGTACTCTGTAAAGTAAGCTATAAAGAATGGGGCAATGTAATTTCTCTCAGTCCTGGGCGAACTGTACATCGATTGGGCTGGTAAACTTTATTTATTTATTTATTTATTTATTTAAGAGCTTAACTCAGAACACTGTCACACCAAGTTTACCTTTTATACGTTGTGTATGCATGTAAAAACTGGCATATGCATACAGAATGTAGAGGGGGAAACTGATCAAATCGATTACGTATTTGTGAAACATAGTTTCAGGCAGAGGAGTAACTGAGGGGCCATGCTAAGATTAGTATAAAATAAATAAGCATGGTTTCCAATAAAGCTATTCTAGCAAATTCCAAAAATAAAAGTATACAGCTTGAAATAAGCATAAAATACTTTCATGAAATTCTGAGACAGGGCCTTCTTCAATTTTAGGATACAGTCCTTCCTTGTAAACGGTGCCGTTTTTACATTGTGGCGCTACTTATTCTTAGGTTTAGACTCTGAATGTTTTTGTTGCAGCACACGTGATGAGTGAGAAGGAAGTCACAAAACCTGCAATCACATAATGGCCCTCGACGCTGCGGTCTCTGTGTGCTAGATGCTAATTTTCCAGTGTGGTCTCATGATTATACAGATCACACTAAGCAGAATCACAGGTTGTCACTAGCTGTCTTTGCCTGGGCCTCTGTGAGCCCTTACATTACTGTATAAACAGCTCTTGCTGCACATCCTCTAATACGGTCCAACTTGTAGGACTTTTAGTGTGTTTGCTTTCACTGACACAAACATGGAAATCTTTTAAACCACACAGAGTTGACAGTAATTGTTAGACAGTTAGCCAGGCGTACAGTGGAAGATGTGTGTAAATGTGAAACCCTCACTTATTCAGTATTCAGGCTGTGTACATAATTCATCTTTATGAAGTGTTCATGTTATTTGAGACTAATGTGCTTTCAGATTGATGTATTTATAGTATTTGTTTACATTTTTAACATTGGAGTGTTTTAAGCACAGAAGGGTCAGTTGACAACACTACAAAAGCAAAACAAAAAATCACATTTCACATGGGATTTCTGAAACAAGCTGTTGGTGTTTTCACTTATTACTTTCAAGTCTCATTGAATATAACATGTTCATTTTGTAAACCACTGCCCCAGTTGGTTAGAAGGGAGGCTTAAATGCAGAGCATGCCTCAGGCTGGGTCAACCATGTGACTGAAAAGTCCGTAATGTAAGAACATATGATGACCTTTGGTTTCTCAGTCAGAGTTGCCTCTTGATCTGTGACAGACCAAGTTGCCAACAGCCAAAATATTCTGCACGGCTCTTCACTAACCACGATAAAGAGGCTGCAAAGGAGAAAACTGTTCACTTGTCATTCTGCAGCTTTTTGCCATTCACTCTGCAGCCCGTCACCTCCCTCAGCTCCTCAGGCCCGATTCAGCTACTCTGATCTAGGGCTGCTCGATTATGGCAAAAATGATAATCACGATTATTTTTACTGAAATTGAGATCTCGATTATTTGACGATATTTATTTAACCCTTTAAGACCTACTATAGAACCAAGTCCGCCAGAGCTTATATTATTTTTTTACATGTTGTAGTGCCATTTGTGGGAGCATTTCAAGTTGCTATACAACTGTTATAGCCCATAAACGGGCGATCGTGGCTTAAGAGTTGGGAGTTCGCCTTGTAATCGGAAGGTTGCCGGTTCGAGCCCCGGCTTGGACAGTCTCGGTCGTTGTGTCCTTGGGCAAGACACTTCACCCGTTGCCTACTGGTGGTGGTCAGAGGGCCCGGTGGCGCCTGTGTCCGGCAGCCTCTCCTCTGTCAGTGCGCCCCAGGGTGGCTGTGGCTACAATGTAGCTTGCCATCACCAGTGTGTGAATGTGTGTGTGAATGGGTGGATGACTGGATATGTAAGGCGCTTTGGGGTCCTTAGGGACTAGAAAAGCGCTATATAAATACAGGCCATTTACCATTTACCATATTTTAATAATATTAAGTCCATAGTAACTACATTAATTGCAAAAAGTGCAATAAACTACAAAAAAATTGAAAATCGTTTTTGTTTTTTTTACATATATTTCTACTTGGAGAAATTTAAGAGGTTTATCCCTCAAAACTTTAAATACAAAAAAGTTGCAAAAAATAGTTTACAACAACAGGAAATTTATTTTGAGTGTCTTCATAGTTTTATTTTGGAGATACACCAATTTTTATTGCAGGAAAAACGAAAAAACAATCCTATGATGCAAATTTGCAAAGAAAACAGCAGGTGCATCAAAATAAACTATTTCCAGCAGTGCAACTCGAGTTCTAAGCATCCCAGCAACTATTCAGAAAAGTCAAACATGACCAGTATAGGCTTTTAAGGCCTACAAGTAAAAAACTACATTTCCGCGAAAATGACGTCAGTTCCGGTTTCAGCCAGGAAATGGCGGACATGTGATAGTTCGCGCTGACGTCTGTTTCACTGTGGGAAGTGTTACGAACAGCTGATCGGATCGGCAAAGCGTGTTTCTGGAATATTATGTTTTTGTTCCTGCAAGCGCTTTTTATGCAATTTTTGTAAAGCTTTATGTGGAAGGAAACCGTGACCGAGGACAAGCTGATGGCATCAGATGTAAGTACAACTCCTCTGGTTTCATATGCAAAATAAATTATTGCGCTAGCTTACACGGTTCAGGTTCTACAGGGATTTAAAAATAGTTACACAAAACGGAGCGTGCTGCTTTGACCGGCTTTAAAGGGTTAACAATGACAATGTATTGAATAATGACTTTGAAAAAGAATATAAAATAGTGTGCAACACCACTGAAGTTTTTTTTTTTTTTTTTACCTCTTTCAACCAACGGCAGTCACTCTCCTCTCCAAATAACTTCTGCTTAGCTTTCCGAGCTTCCCTCGGGTCCTCTTAATCAGCGGTCTCCAACCTTTTTTGCGCCACGGACCGGTTTATGCCCGACAATATTTTCACGGACCGGCCTTTAAGGTGTCGCGGATAAATGAGGGAGGGGCTAATAATCGGCTCAGTCATTTTTAATGATCGTTGAAAGCCCAGATCGTAATCGTGATTAAAATTCGATTAATTGAGCAGCCCTACTCTGATCTGGACTTCACTCTTTACTTTCTACAGCAGGGGTCGGCAACCTTTCTGATGGCAAGTGCCATTTAAAATTTCCTCAGAGGTCAGTGTGCCATCCATATGATTGCATTAGCAATAAATTGAATAACGCTCTATATGAACAGTTACACACTATATAGAGCCACTTTATAGGATTATATTTGTTCGTAGATGTTGGCAGCTGTCAGCGAATAGTTCTCAGCTATTTTGAAACAAAAAAAGACTTTTTATCCATAACAGCAAATGAACTGAACAACAGAAAATACAAATGCTATTTATGGTCTCCTCACAACAATGATAAGAAAAATAAACTGGGCCAATATGGCATGTTTGTTAATACAGAGTCACACATGTTAATGTGATCTCTGGTCTCCCACTCAGAGACTCGGGTCTCCGAGGGTCCAGCATTCAGACCTGAGGACTCTCTTCATGTGAGAGAAAATCTGCTCACACAGATATGTAGAGCCAAATACTGTCAATAAGGCCTCTGCAATGTTCTGAGGACAGTTAAACTTGTCAGATAGTGACGTCCAGCAGGTGAAAATCCAGCTCCATGAACACACACAGCTGTGGATTCCAGCTGCTTCGATGTTGCATTAACTGGCATTAACTCAGTTAATGTGAGACAAATCCAGCTGCTCATTAAAGATTTCTGGTTTGATCAGAAAATAAAACATTGGTCCAAACACCTGAAAGTCCCAAAATGCATTGTGTCTCGAGTCTATGTATGTATCAGAGTATTTCCGTGGTGCTGATGCTGTGCTGAGCGGAAAGCTCCAGAAACCTTTGAAGTGTCGGAATGTGGAAAGCCAACAGCGTCCCTCTCACCAGTAGGCTAAGTTATTTTTAGCCAATTACAAGTTGAATCTGGTAGTTGGGTTTTTAGCTAAGATACCGTCATTAAGAAGAGGCACAACTAATGTGTCTATGTGAGCTAATTTGCGATGTGCACTGGTGGCGCGACCATTTATTTTTTTTGATGCACCTTCTCAGATTAACTCACTGCGTGTCGTGCCCAGGGCTGGACTGGGACAAAAAATTGACCCGGGCATTTTGACTAGAGACCGGCCCCCCAGGTATTAAAGCCATAAAGCCTTTGAATGAAAACAAACGCTGTTGTGACAGTGATGTACAGTCTTGTTGGTATATGTATGATTTCTATACATTTTACATCAGATAAAAACTTTCATTGTAAGCTTCAGATAATTTAATAACAGCCAGACATTTTAAATGAGAATAAGAAAGTATTTCTTTGTGCCCCCCTTTCCCTGTTAATGCCCTACCTGCCCCCCTGGCAAAACTTTGCTAGACCTGCCCCTGCACAGTTACCAGCTGTCAGCTACATAAAAAAGGATCCTGGTGTTATTTGTCTCTCAGAAACAGTTCATAACTTCCCTTCAACTCATCCATGTCACCTAAAAGGTAAACCTGTTTCTCCATCACCTGTTCAGCTCTGATGATTCAGTAAGGACATCTCCTGGTTTCATCTTCATGTTTCCCTCTCACCACACATCCAAACAGACATCATGACCAGCAGCTTTACAGCTGTGGCTCCAGCAAACATCAGCTGATACTAGAAGTTAATATTAAATAAATTCTAACAACAGCTGATCAAGCTTAAACGTGCTGCTGTTGTTTAGTGCGACATCGGCTGGTTTCCTCTTTCTGGCGCAAAGTGGGCGATAAACAAACAAGAGAGACGATCAGCTGATCATTGATCAGTTTCATGATTGAAGTAGAAACAGGAGAGAGAGGGGGGAGAATGAGAGAAGAAGAGGCAGCTGTGCAGCAAAGACAGAATAAATCCAGCTTTGTGTCTTTTTCCATCCTAGACATCTCAGCTCAACACGAAACACGTAATAATGTCTCTGAATACGGGATGATTCCGTTTGTACGGGGCGGGTGGCAACTCTACTAGCTGACCTTATGGATAAAATAAAGTTCACTATCAGTAACATCATAGCACCACCCAGCTGTATAGAAACTCCGTCATGCTAGTTAGCACGCAGTACGAGTTATTGTAACTGACTGTAAAAAGTCAGCATAACGAAAATAAACTCCACCTAAACTTGGTTTATATCTGACCCAGATAGACTGCAGGTCGTAACTACTTACCTGAAGTTCAGTTCACCTGACACTCGGACTGGCGGCCGCCTCGGGTCTCTCCTCCTCCTGTCTCCCCTCTCCCTCATCCACCTGCTGGCCTCCACCACTTATTAATTTTACTGAATCTGCGGAAGCTCCGCCATAGCCACCACCAAACAACTGAGTTATTTTTACACACCGACCAGTATCTAGCCAATCCACCACCTTTCATTGTTTATACTGTTCCAAAAAAAATAAATCATCGGCCCACCGAGCAAATGTCTGGTATGCCCGTCCAGCTATGGTGCCATCAGTTAACCCTGCCTAGGGTTGCCGACCCCTGTTCTACAGACTCGACTCTGTTTAGTTCAGCTATGGTTCACTTGCTGCTCTACACAGGCAGCAACTCGTCTAATTCTCCACACATCTGTTATCCAACACCCTGGATCAGAATTCCATCCCAGATCCATTCAAACCCTGTGATAATTACTAATCTTTTATCTAACGACAGTGCCTTATATATTGAGCTATCTAGCTAGATCTGGGTCATGCTATACAGCCTTCATGTTGTTAGGCAGTCAGGACTGCAGCATTTAACACTGAGTGTCAAAATGATGGTTGGTGGTTCTCCGTACAAATGGTCGATAAATGTTTTGTTTGTTTCGGTGTTTTTGGGAGGGGAATGCAACACATCAACGTTCTCTGATGAGTAAACCCATTTTAGGAAGAGTTTGCTGTGCAGCCCGCCCCAGCTTGGCTAAAACAGACCTAACAACTGAAACATGAGTGGATTTATGGTTTGGTTTTGGTTTTTTTAAGTGTGTGTGTGACCTTGTACTGCATTTAACTGGCTGAGCACTGTATAAGATGTGACATGTAAGGAGGGGGTTGGGTAAACAAGGCATTGGTTCACGTCCAAATTCCTTTTGCAAAACAGGCTGTACGGTGGGTACATGGAATCAAACTGTTTTCTCTGAAAAATCCAAACCATAAGTTGGCTTCTACCTCTGTTAAATAAATCTGTAATCCTAACGGGTTCACAAAGTGAGCGGCTCCCCTGACTGGGAGCGTAGTCACAACAAAAGCACCTTGAGCCTGAACTTGCACTGAACCTGTTGAAACAATCCTTCCCTGAACCTTAAAGAAAATAGAGCAGAGAAGGCGAGGTGTGAGGAAGCTGTGAGCTTTGTTGCTCCAGATCAACCTACAGGCACGTCTGGAATCCCCTCAGCCAAGAATCTGCTATTTTCACATAAAGGGTAGCAGCACTGCTGAGCACATAGCCTGCAGTCGCATACTGAGTGCTCAGCCATGTATGTGTGGTATGAAGCCAGCTCTGTGAATGCCCTTTGCATTTTGTAACTGCATGTTGCCTCCAAATAAGATTCACAGGCAGTGGAAATGTCACCACTTCTTCAGCTTAGTATCAAATTGTATTCTGCAAAAAGTCACTGGATTTTATTTCCCTCAACATTAAAATGTTTGGGTTATTTTTGCATCAGTGAGCACATCAAAGGAGAAACCCACCTGCTCTAATGTCGCTGTCTTCCACCCACAGGCGGCATGTTCGAGTACGTGTCTGGGGCCAACTTCTTGGGCGAGATAACAGAGTGGGCTGGCTTCACTCTGGCTGGTCACTCTGTTCACAGTGCAGCCTTCGCCATCTTTACCGCAGTGGTCCTCGCTAGCAGAGCTGTGGCCCACCACAAGTAAGAACAAAAACAGGCAGCGTTCTCACACTCGGAGCAATTTTCCTGGAGTGTGCACACTGTACATTTTAAACAAAATTCAGAATTAACACAGGAAAATTTCTTGTTCCTTTGTTCTTGCTCTGCAGATGGTACCTTGCCAAGTTTGAGGACTACCCTAAAAGCAGGAAGGTGTTGATTCCCTTTCTGTTCTAGAAAGCTGGACACCTCGAAAGGTAATGTGTTCTCCTGCAACGGCGAAGAACATTCCTGCGATCATTTGCCTAATTTAGAAATTCTCTAATGTAGCAACAAACCTTGAACACAGCTTATTTTTTTTCCACTGAAAACAAGCGCACTCTTGGTGTGAAGAAGCAATTGTTAAAAGTCACCATCTCAGAAAGGTTTTTATCATTTGTTACGTTGGTAATAACATCACAAAGCACCAAGGAACCTCAACAAGCATGGACTGAATGTGCTGGAGGTGTTGCGTTTGCAGGAGAGGCGGCATTCAGCTCTCCTCCAGAGGAAATAAAGTTTGTGAATGGAGTAGCTCCATGGTAATATACGGGATTTATGACAGTCTACATCAGCAGTAAACAGCTTTAAGACTCTCCTCCTGCTCTGCATATTCTCCCAGTTGGAACATAAAGTTGGAAATGCAAAGCAGACATTTAAAATGGTCATTTTATCCTCAAGATTCAGCTGTTGCAAATCTTTTTAATGTCGATTCACATCAAATAGACGAGTTCTGAATCACGTAGAACGTGTTTTCTACTGGATTTTGCTCTGGGTGTCATCTACTGACCTCGTCATCTCAAAGTCCTGAAAGAGAAGCAACTTTGTGAATGTAACTGCATATCTGGACTCAAAAAAAGACTGGTCTGCAAAATTAGAGTAGGAATGAAACATTATATATTAAACAAAAGTGGGAATCTGAATTATGTCAGAGGATGACTGGCGATCCGTTTGTCTCTCATAGCATAATTCCACCAGCTCTAGACGATGGAGAGAATATGGCTGGAAAAATGTGATTAGGTTCTTTATTACACCTTATATCAAAAGCAAGCAGCTGAAAACACCCCAACAATGCTGGAGATTATGTGGAGACTGGGACGCCAATCATTCTCATGTGTTTTGGAAGTGTAAAAATAGCAAACCTTACTGGGAAAGCATGTCATGTGAGGCACGAGTATTGTATTTTGGAATATGGGAAAATGTAAGAAAGGAGGACCATTACTTGTTTAAAATTATGTTGTTGTCAAGCAAAAAGATAATAACAAAAAACTGGCTGAAAAGTGACCCTTTAAAATTGGAAGAATGGACTGATGTAATTGAGGATAGATATAGATAGATCTCTAGAGATAGAGATGACCTACACTTTGAGACTGAAATCTGATAAACTGTGGACAAAATGGATAGCCTATAAGACTCACTCAACCCCATAAGGCAGGGACCTCTCCTCTGAGGGTTTTTTTTTTTTTCCTCTTCTTAATTCAAACAGCTTTTGGTTCTTGGTCCTTTGAGGCATAGGCGGACGGCCAGGCCCTGAGAGAATGGGGTCCTGCTAATACCCGCTCCGGGTTCAAATATGTTATGATTGTGGATGGAACTGGACCTGTCGGGGAGAGGACCAGACTTTGGTCCCTGTCTGGCAGTCTTCATAGGCATGTAAGGGGTTGGATGGATGGTGTTTTTGGGACGGGATTGATAAGACAGTACTTCTCTATACATATGTGTATAATTATTCTTTGCTTTCTTCACCCGACAGATTAGGTGTGCTTTATTCCTTTTAGTTTGTTTCTTTTGTGTTCTTTTTTTCGTATTTTTTGTTTGCATGTACTACAAAGTTGGAAAAATGTACAAAGTAAAAAAAATAAAAAAAAAAGACTGAGACTTGCATCAGGCCTGTCCCCCACTCATGGACTGCGGGGACAGAGAATGAAGATCAAGCACAGGCGTCAATAAGTCACCCATGCCTGAAATTAGAAAATAAGAGTTGCCCCAAAACATGCCCCATGCTGGGAGTTTCTCAGAGAGATGGTGAAGAAGTGGAGAAGAAATTAGAGAAAAATATTGGCCTGGTGAAAGCAGGAGGACAACGCGTGCTGAATGAATAAAGCTGTGCGAGATGTGTTTTTGAAGGGACGGAGAAAAACTGGAAGTAAAGACAGGAACAGGAAATATTGGACTTGTCTCTTTCGCTCCATTACGGTTTCATTTTTGTTACTGTGAGTCATAATCTTGTCAGTGTAAGTTAAGACTTTTCTTAAATCATGTCATGGTTTGTTGGTACTCAGGTGCCCTTTTTTTGGGTGGGTTTTAAAAATGACTTTTTATTCAAAAGAAGTGCAGTTATCTTTAAAGTTTGCTCACTCATTTTCTGATGAAGTCCTTTTCCTGTCACAACTGAGGTCATGTCTTTAGGAATTTGATAAAGGGATTTTTACACTTTGTCACCAATAAATACTTTGACTGCTGCGTCTGAGTGTGATGATAAATGATGGCTGCTTTGCAGAGAGACGTCCTTCGTGCCCCCACCTTCTCTCTCTTTTTTCCAGGGTGTTTTTTTTTTTTTCTTCTAGTTGTGCATCCTCTGTCTGGGCTCCTTGTAATTGCATCACTATATTACACAGACACTATTTACAACTGAGTGTGCCATTTGCCTGTAATACCATTCATCTTCATGCACTGTGTAATGGCTTGTTGGTCCCAAACTTAGACACACAGGCTCTGGATACAAGTAATATTTAATATACGCATGCTATATAATTTAATGTAACGTGGAAAAGCAACAACTAAGCAGCATTAACAACCTTCAGCCTTTAAGACTGCTGCATGCGAACAAACACACGTCTGTGGTAGGAAAGTAAAATAACAAGCCACTGCTGCATGTTCTGCCCGTCTTGCAAGCCATAGACTGTATATAAAAGATGGACACCGCTTTCCGATGTGAAAAGTAAAGCCAGCCTGGAAATCTACTTTCAAGATTTATTGAAAACAATAAGATGTTCATTTTGTAAACTGTGGACCCAATAAGAGGGAAATAAGGATAAAGCATGAAATGTTTATGACTGGATCAACCTTGTGATTGACAAGTCACTATTGTCGCCTCTGTCAGTGCACCCCAGGGTGGCTGTGGCTACAATGTAGCTTGCCATCACCAGTGTGTGAATGGGTGGATGACTGAACGTGTAAAGCGCTATACAAATACAGGCCATTTATTGTATGAGTGGCCATTGGAAGCAACAGTGAAAATGACGAAGGGTTCAAAACAGTCAAGTCCAGTTGATAAGTTAGCGATCTTCTTCAAATATGGCCACTGCTGGCTATAAAAGGGGGAAAACCAACATGGAGTCCTAAGCCAGCCGGTAATGTGATAGCTGCTTTAGTTATTTATTTGTTTATTTATGGCTCCAGTCTTGCCTCCCATGGATAGGACTAGACTTTGTACAAAATATTATCTCAAAAAGTCTGAAATTAAAGGAAACATGAAGTCCTAGTCTTAGATTCCGTGTAAAATTTCTGTGTAACAGTGCAGGTGAACTTTATAATATATAAAGTTTCTGTTTTATGTCAAATTGTTTAACATTAACTTTAACAGAAATATTCAGTTTATTGTCATGCATGAAGAAAAACAGCGTACTTGGTGTTGCACTGATTTCTGCCCTGTCATAACTATCAGTATGATCTCTTGGTCTTCCTTTGTGTTTACTGAGGTCTTAAAATCCCTTGGTTATGATTTTGTAAATGGTGCAGGATCCCTCCTTTGCACCCAGAATGCAGGCAATGGACAGCAGTTTGAAGATGTTCTCTTTACCTGTAGATGGCGCATATTAACACACCTACACCTCCTAGGTTTAAACTCTTTTAACCCCCCCATCTTGCATTCAGGTGGTACAGTTTGGACTGTAGGTTCAGACCACAGACTGCATATAAAGTCGATGGCCCAGATTTGCAGTTTTGAACCTGCTCTGCGGTTAGATGATAATCAGTGGGTTCATTCTAATGATGTCCTTGTTATTACTGTACCTAACTGCACAGTGGGGGCAACGCACCACAGGCAATATGCTCACATGTAGAAACAGTGTAATGGCTGCCGACATTGTAAGCGCAGCTTCCCACTAATGTGGGTTAAATATCTGGAACATACTGCAGCCTCATTACTATTCAAGCCACATGCAGCCTCAGACAACTGCCTGCTTCCTTAATATTATCTCCTATTACTGTTCTGCCTGTGAGCATATTAGTGGCTTCTCCAGCTTCTCCTGTGTTGTTGTTTCTGTGCGTGTGTGTGTTCGTGTGCATCTTTTAGGTGTCTGTCAGCTACGGTCCAGTCGTCACCAATGTTGTAATCCCATAAAAGCTGACAATGAGGCAAACCAGCCTTGAAACGACACGCACGCTGAGACATAGTCGGTGCCGGCGCTCGGCTCGAGCTGAGTCCGTGACATGAGAGATGAGAGGAATAACCTATTCAGTGCGCTTTGTCAGTGCCCGTGTTTCATGCAGTGTAAAATGGAAAAGATAGGAAGAAGAGATTGGCTTTCTGCAGGCGTACAGTGGGAGTAAGCATCTGTGTGTGTGCCCGAGTGTGTTTTATGGCGAGCTGCATATCCTAGCCGACACATAGTTTGCTCTAGGGGGGAGTTTCTTTGGCTATGTCACATGCTGCACGTGAGTAGCAGAGGTTGGGGGCAGGCATTATGCAAGATACTCTTTAAAAAGAAATACATACACATCCCAGAAGGTGCTGGTTATCCTGCCTGCCACTCCTTCACCGTAGTGTTTAATGGCTTGGGAAATTGCTGTTACCGGTGGGGCCTGGGCAGTACTGAGATACTGGGATGATGAACACCACCTGCTGTGCTTCACTTCAAAATGAACATTTGGAATCCAGGTCCGCAGTGTGCATCTGAAATAATAAACGGAAAAGGAGGCCCTTTTAAGCTTAGACGGGGGGGGACCATGTTACTGTGTTGTTGTACTTAGATCGTATGAAAAGCCTCTATGTCCTTATATACAGTCTGTGTTTGCACTGCAGTGTAGGCTTACTGCTGTGTGTATGTGAGCAGCATTTCAAGGGCCAGAGTTTGTGGCCTCGAGCAAGTGTTTGGGATGCCGACAGTCTCATGGCCTGATCTTCTTTTGAAGTAAATTATACTTTCCTTAAAAGTTACATGGTTCCAGTTTTTGTCTTTCAGAGGAAGCTGCGGATCCATAGCTAGATCACCCACGGAAAAGGTCAGGTATTCTGCAGGGCCAAATCTGTTAATGTCCCCGAACTCTAGTCTAATGAGTATATAACATATAAATTGGGGAAATCTATATATCTGATTTCTCTTTAATCTGTGAATATTTCAAGACATGCATTCGTGTCCAGGACGTTAATAGTCAATCATTTGTGCAACAATAAGCTTCTGTCCGGCCTCGTGTTGATGGGGATCCCCTCTGAACCCACCCATCCATTCCTCCACCCACTGGTGAAAGCGGGGAAGTTGAAACTGAGCGCACAAGGATCTGCGGACTGCCAGGCCCTGCTTTATTTAAAAAATAAAAAAAATAGAAAGACCCCAGGTCATTTTATTCATTATCGACGTTTACCGTGTACCTCATTTGTTGTCCAGTGAATTATTTATCAAATAAAAATTCTAATATTTATCCCCTCAAATCATCAGTCTCCCGGCTGAGGAGCGATAAAGGAGTGGGCGGATGGGGGGGCGCAGTAATCATTTAAGAAATCCCTGGTAGGACGCATGCGTGTGGATTTTGAAGAGCATACGCCATATTGAATTCCCGTAGGAATCGGCTAGCAAATTTTCGAGCTAGCGGTGTAAAAGGGGGCCACTTTATCAATGGTCCTAATTCGGTTTAATGTTCAAACGTGTCTGTTCTCGTAACCCCGGACAGCGTAGCGACCTTTGAAAGGTCCGAGAAGCGGCGCAGGTTCATCACGGGCTCGGAAGTGTTAGGGACTTGTCGGGGGGGTTACCAGAGAAAGAAGTTGAATGGATCCGAGGGTAGCTTGGATTCAGCCCGAACAGAAAGGACCTGCGAACGCCTTATGGATGCACGTCTGGGAGACCTCTCAGGGAGTACGGACTCTCTCCGCTCAGCAGCAGCTCCACAATCAAAACCACAACCAGTGTGTGAATTACGCGGTTTTAAAAAATGTGGCGACCGCCGTGGCTTCGAGCAAGAGCATCTGCAGCAGCAACGGTAACGTTACAGGAAGCCTGAGCAACGGCAGCAGCCATCGTAGCATCACGAACGGCGCTGCACACAGTAGTAGCGGTAACGGCAATGCGATTCCTCCGCTGGGGAGAGCACTGTCCAACAGGAACGTACACAACTCTTTAACCCCGTCGAACATCAGCGAGCCAGGTGAGGGGAAAACTGCGTCCCATAAAACGGGATCTGCCTCGTCGTCTTCGCAGGAATCCGGGACGGACAGTCCCCCCTCCAGCTGCTCACTCGAGAGGACTATGGATAGAAATGTTACGGGGAGTATTAATAATAACGTCGGGGGTGCCAACCTGCTCTTCAACTTGAGAGACAGCATGGACAATAATGTCAACCTTTACCATCACCGTCACCCGCAGGAGCACCAGGCTTTCAAGTTACAGCAGATTTGCGTGAACCAGCATCAGGTTCACCCCTCTGTACCTATTAATCAACCACACAGTCACCACCCGGGCCGAAGGAAAAGTGACAACAAGGCGAGCACTTATGGGATGAATTATTCGATTTCTAACTGCACTAATGGCAATTATGCGAGCACTTGCACGCCCTGGAAGACGAGGGAGTACAGCCCAGGGGTACTCGGGTGAGTGACTTAACCGCATCGCTGATTTGTGGTGAAATAAGCTGTAATAAGTTGACAAACGTCTCCTGACGCTGTCGTCAGTATAGTTATATATTATACTCTTGTTTTGCAATGCAGTTGGATTATGGCGGTACACTGAGTACTGGAGAGTAAGCTGGACATTTTTCTTCTTGCCGTTGGCTGATTAGCTAACCGTTACAGCTGCGTAAAGGCAGCCGCAGACGGCCAGAAAAAGACCGGAAGTGCCGTGATTTGGTATTCAGAAGGTTAAACTGGGCCGTTACCGAACACGATAATTCCAGCAAGCTGTCGAGCCCAACTATTAAGTAAAGTAATAAAATGTATTCTGAAGTGTTGAATAATGTGTTGGCGTGAAGCGAGTTTGAGTAGATTTTCTTAATGGTTTATTTATTTAGAAGGTGCCGACCGGATACGCTGCTTTTAAATGTAGTCCGTTAGTTAGCCTAAACGAGGAGCCTAAAGCTAATTTACCCAACGGTTTCCTATGCAGGCTGGACTTAACGGGAAAAACTGTTTAAAACAGAATTACAACCTTTTTATTCCTCCAGTGAAATGTAATTACACAGAACTAGAAATTAAATATGATAATCTATTTACAACATTTTTTTTGTTGACGAGGTTGAAACCAGCTTAATTTGAACGATATGGACAACTGCACTTAACCTGTTAGCAATCTGCTGTGGTGAATCCGAAAAGTAATCTGGCAATCTGACAGTGAGCGTGGGAGGTGAAACCTGCGAGATTAATTCTCAATATTGACTGTTTTAAACATAATTCGATACAATTTGTGGGGGAAAGGACTAGTTATGTGCAAGGTACGTGCTTTAGTTCAGAATTAATTACCTTTGTGCCCAAGTTAATTTGGGTGCACTCCCTATTTGCAGAGATCTGCCAATATGACATAACATACAGGGTGGATCCCAGAGTACTGAAGTATGATTAAAATCAGTTTCCAGGAACTCGCTTTAGCCACAGATTAGCTATATTTTCTTAGTATTGAGTTCACCTAAAATTAATGTCTATAAATGGTAAATAAGGGTTGTTTAAATTTGCAATATCTGCATTGTTGGTGTAATAAAAACACTAACTGAATAGCTTTTGATTTTCAAGTATAACTGAGCACTAACCGAAGCCCTCCTGAAACAAATGAGCGAAGAATTTCTGAATGTGTTGCAGGAATTTGTGATATTTGTAATGGCTGCTTGCACCCATCTGGGACTCTTCTGTAACAACGAAACAGTGTTTGTCACGAAAGCAGTTCCACATGCGTGATGCAGAGTTTCCCAATTGCAGTGAAATCTAAGTGAGCTGAGAAATTTGAAGTTGTTAATGAATGTTTTCTTCTGAAACCACAGTGAATTTCATCTTGTAATTCGTGGTTCTACAAGTTTTCTGACACAAGTTTCAGCTTGTGTGCCGACTAGTGTTGCTTTGGTTTGCCTTCAGGGGTGCCCTTTAAAGTTCTGCACAGAGAGGGAGTTTCACTACAAACTGGAACAGTGTGAACATAAAAATACTTGTATGTTGTGGTGGAGTGTTTACTGTAAGATTGCTTGTCAGGGATGGCTCTGGTAATAGCTATTATTCTAACTGTGGGCTGTGTGGAGTGTAATCGTTGGACGGTTAGCATGGATACATGCTGGACTGACTGGTTTGCTGACAGAGTTTTCACCAAGGAGTGGGCCCATGGGGCTGAGTGCATTTTCTTCAGGGCTCTGGTAATTGATTGTGACAGTCCCCCCCCTGTTCTGTATTTCACACTGGCATCGTGGCATGCATTCCTAGGAAAAAAAAAATGAATGGGTCGAACAGACTTCCTCTGTTCGAAGGCATTTAACTGGTCAGAAATCTGTACATTATGTGTGCCCTGCTGTCAAACACAAATCCATATCAACAACGGGCCTGGGAGACTCCCAGGCCTACTCTGGCCCTCCAGTAGCTTAAACCTTGGTCAATTTCCACTCAAAACCTCAGGTGTGTGTTGTGCCGTTGTCTTTCCGTAAGCCAAATGTATTCAGTGAAGATGAGTATTCTGCAAAGCATAGCTCCTCTGCACGTTGACCACTTTAGTTCAGGCTTATTTTTGGCCTGGTGGTTACAATATGGGGCAGGGCTACAGTTAGCCGAATCTATGATGGTTAAATTGGTACTGATCTAAGAGACTTCTCATAAAGGCATAGAAAAACTTATGTTTTGTCTTTTTAACAAAAACCAAATATATCAAATTATTTCAGTTTGACTGTTACTGAAGCAGGCAGGTTTAGTAACGTGGTTTTACAAAGTTGCAATTTCAAAATATATTTATGCATTTTCAGACTTCACAATTAGACCAGATTTCCTAATTGAGTTTTCCATTATCACAGTATTGGGAATCTTCCAGTCAAATCCAATATTTATCTCAATTTTCCCAAGAAATCTGTTTAATATGCTGAAATAACAGCTGTAGCTTCTTGATCAAACGAGGGCACCAGTTCAAAATAAGACTGTTTGAAGTTTGTTATTACTATGATCTGAAACAGGGATGCAATGATTTTGAAATGACAACAGATCAATAAAATAACAAAGTAACATCTACGCAGCTTTTTTTTTTTTAAATTTTTTTTTAGTTTTTTTATTTAAAAGAAGGAATCTTAAAATTTTTGCGACACAGCCAATTACAGGTGGTCAGATCAGTCTAAATGACCCAACCCCAACACTGGTATTGGATTGATACTAGCGGAATAGGATTGATCGTTTGTTTGTATTCTCCGAGTTCAGTATGTAGCCCACTGAACTGTGTTAACGTTTTACTTTTGGGGGAAATGTAAGAAACCCCCTCAAAAATCTCAAACATCCACTATGAAAAATTAAAATGTTCAGTTTACAAATTATTGATAATTAATCTCATAAGTCATGACACAGTGTTCTCCACTGCATAAGCCGTTTGATGCACTAAACGTATCAGTGTCTGCAATATGGCTGCATTTCCTCGGTATTGGATCATAACAAAATTTGCAGTATCGCACAGCACCACAGCTGATGCATATGGGCCAGCGACACTGGTTAATGGCATTTTATTTTCCAGTATGTTGATATCAGTCAACAGGGTCACTGCTAGCTAATGGATTCCTAATTTAAAGTGGGCCCATGCTAGTCTAATGTGCCGTCAGCGATTTCAAATAAAATTTGCCTAGATGTCCAAAGAACATAATATGCAACTGTTAAGTGTAACTCTTACTCCACTGGAATATTACCCATTTTAATCACTTTAACAATATAATATAAAACTTACTGTCTGAAAATACTTGGAGACCTAAAATTCTTTTCTCATTGTCTCACATATGTAATGCTTCAATGATAGAAACGTTAAACAAAGTTTGAGGTCAGTTTATGTACCTCTGTGACCTGAAAGCTTGGCCTCAGATGGTTTTAAACACACTATTTTTTTTCTACTCCTGGCTCTCTATGATGTCAGTGAGAGCAGATATCCCCAATATGGTCATCTCCCAGCCCTCCCACCTGCTGTTCAAACCTTCTGTTCACCCTTCAGACAGAGCATGAACTGGGGACCAGTGTAAGATGATTAAGGATTATATTGATGTGTGAATTGTGAAAAGCTAATCTGGAGTCTGAGAATAAGAATACAAAGCTGGAACTGAGTAGAAGTCCCCTTACATGGCAGCTTATTTGGGATAATGCGCTTTCTCAAATGACACTGTGGTGCAGAGAAGAAGCATTACTCGTGATCTGGTTTTACCGGGATGTTACAGAGTGATGCTTTTTTTGGGGGTGGGGGCTGTCATCAATCACTTGTAGAGTTGAGGTTCATTAGCAACAGCTGATACAATCCGCCACCTGCCGCATTTGTCATATTAAACACTGAACATGACGATCAGTACCTGCTAAAATGAGAAGCCACTTCCTGAAGGTTTTGAACCCTGTGACACTCTTGCAAGTCGAAGTTCATTTTCATTAGGGAAGCTTTCATTAGTGCTGTAACACTACCAGGCTGAGGTGCATATTCATTACACCTTGAGATCTGCTTGTGGCATCGATTATGTTTTAATAAGCTGTTGCAGTGTTTCTCAGTTTGCAGTGTCCATGTAATCATGAGCTTTGTTAGTACATGTATACATCGGCAGTAGCAGTGTGAACCTTTCCAGAGCAGTGACCACGTAGTTGGATTATTTTTAGTTCATTCTTGTACTTAACCCTTATTTGTCCTTTTGTCCAGACTCCACGAAGAGGTGATGGATTTCTACAAATACATATCTCCTCGGCCGGAGGAGGCAGCTATGAGGAAGGAGGTGGTGAACCGGATAGAGGTGGTCATCAAGGAGCTGTGGCCTACTGTTGATGTATGTTACGCATGCACACGCACACATGTTTGTTTGGATCAGCATAAATCAGAGACTTCACTGATATCCTGTCAGTGTTCCTAAATCATAGCTGAAACTATCAAATGTTTCAATACAGTACAGTGTCTCTCCCCCCCCCCCTTTTTTTTTTTTTTTTTTTTTTTTTTAAATAATAATTATTTTATTTTTTCTTTCTCTGTCTGGGAAAAAGACGCTACCTTTGATCTTTTTGGGCCGCAGCTGGCAGTCTTTGAAACTAACCTGGATCCACAGCAGGTGGAGCACCAACTGTTTGTTTTTTAACTGTGCACATCTATGCATACCAGCCTTGCTCTCACTACACCCTCCTTTAACAGCTGTACATTTTAATTCAATGATTTTATTATTTAAAGGAACATGCTTAAATTTTGAAAATTCGGCTAGTGCTTTTTAAAAACTATTTATTTTTGACTGAATAATTTCATTAGGCTACAACCCTTAAAAATGAGCTTAAATTAGGCACAAACATTTCAAAAACTATAAAGACAAAATGTATTAATATGACATTTGAAATATCACTGGACAAGAGATGACATCAGTTATTGCGATCAGGAAGTGTGATTGGGCGTGAGAGATTAGTCAGCTCGGATGTTTTTTGGCCAGGTTTAGTGACTTAATTACCTGGCAGCGTCACAGGACCGTAGGTGTGCACGTCCAAGTTTCAGTCTGGCACATGTCACCCCTCCTCCTGTTAAACCGCAAGCTAACAAACAGACTCCTAGTTTTAATTTTCTAAATAACAGACAGACGTGAGATTGGCATCGATCTCTTTTGACCAAACTGTTCCTCTTTAACAAAAGTACTATGTGTCAGACCCAACAAAAACTGACCTCATACTACCACTGTTTTGTAGTTTCCTTAGAAGGAATGAGAACATAATTAACTAACTGGAAAGCAGTTATGAGACACTCTTTAAAACAGAAAAATTAGTGTCTGTACTCGCACTTGAGAGGTGTAGAAATGGTGATGGAGAATCTTGCAGCTGGTTGAGAAGAGTACAGCGAGGCGCGGTTGATGCACCGCCTCTCTCGTTGCTTAATCATGTAAAACACGCGCAGCAGTGATTTGTTGGCTGCCAGTCTTCACCACTTCTGCTGTGAGCCACATTGTCAGGTAAATGGATCAAGCCTCAGATTGTCCCAGCCTCCCTTTTCATTTCCATGTATTTACCCTGGCCTGTCGTGGTGCTTTTGCCTTGACGGAAAAGGAAATGACTCCGCTTCCTTTGGAGAGCATTCACTTGCAGCCCTCAAGCACAGCATTTTTGTTCTTTGCTATTGTGTACTTAATTTGGCAGCGTACTTAACTTGGCAGTGTTTACAGTCTCTGAAGTAGGGAGCCGGAAATGCCTAAGTCCTGGTCGTTTGCAAACATTTGAACTGGATATATACAGCACCACCGCAAATGAGCTAGAAGTGTAGTTGTTGCAAGTTGCCAAGCCCTTTATGGTTAAAATGTGATGTGAAGAGCTGTAACACGTCAGCTTGTATGCCATGAATGACAGTGATTTCGGTCATTTTCACACTTCTGTAACCATGTTTTACCAGGTCCAAATATATGGCAGCTTCAGCACAGGGCTGTACCTTCCAACAAGGTAAGAGCAGGATTTAAATTTATTCAGTTTTTAAATAGCCAACTTAATTTTGTTCCTGATTTGTTTTGCTGCGAGGTCATTTAAATTTTAGGACTAATGTTTGTTTAAATTAGTTCATGTATGTTTTTTGCCCTTAGTGATATTGACCTGATGGTGACTGGGAAGTGGGAGCGCCCGCCACTGCAAGAGCTTGAACAAGCTCTTCGCAAGCATGAAGTTGCCGACCCTAACTCCATTAAAGTGCTGGACAAGGCTACAGTAAGTAGAGACAAGCAGGCCGTGCTTCTCCACTCTGTGCCTGTGTGCACCTATAGCATGTCATTGCATTTGGGCCATCACACTGGAGCACAGCTGATTTATTGGTGGGACAATACTATCAGCCAATATTGGCTATTTTCTGCGTTCATAGCGGCCAGCAACTGATCCTTTATTGCAGCTGGTTGAGAAGACTTTAACGAGTTATTGGCTGGTATTTCTTAAAAAAAACAAAACAAAGAAAAACTAACACTTGACGGTGAAAAATGCTTTCTAATATATTAGTCCAAACTATCCCATAGGTTTAGTTGGATACCTGTTAGCTAGTCGAGTCGCACTGATTTATTGTTGGACCATAGATTGGCGACTTGCAAATCTAACTGTATTGTAGGGCTGCTCAATTAATCGAATTTTAATCACGATTACGATCTGGGCTTTCAACGATCATTAAAAATGACTGAGCCGATTATTAGCCCCTCCCTCATTTATCCGCGACACCTTAAAGGCCGGTCCGTGAAAATATTGTCGGGCATAAACCGTCCGTGGCGCAAAAAAGGTTGGAGACCGCTGATTAAGAGGACCCGAGGGAAGCTCGGAAAGCTAAGCAGAAGTTATTTGGAGAGGAGAGTGACTGCGTTGGTTGAAAAGAGAGTTTAAAAAAAAAAAAAAAAAACTTCAGTGGTGTTGCACACTATTTTATATTATTTTTTTAAAGTCATTGTTAACCCTTTAAAGCCGGTCAGAGCAGCACGCTCCGTTTTGCGTAACTATTGTTAAATCCCTGTAGAACCTGAACCGTGTAAGCTAGCGCAATAATTTGTTTTGCATATGAAACCGGAGGAGTTGTACTTACATCTGATGCCATCAGCTTGTCCTCGGTCACGGTTTCCTTCCACATAAAGCTTTACAAAAATTGCATAAAAAGCGCTTGCAGGAACAAAAACATAATATTCCAGAAACACGCTTTGCCGTTCCTATCAGCTGTTCGTAACACTTCCTACAATGAAATGATGCACGTGCTGTTTTCTTTGCAAATTTGCATCATAGGATTGTTTTTTGTTTTTCCTGCAGTATATAAAAATTGGTGTATCTCCAAAATAAAACTATGAAGACACTCAAAATAAATTTCCTGTGGTGGGAAACTATTTTTTGCAACTTTATTGTATTTAAAGTTTTGAGGGATAAACCTCTTAAATTTCTCCAAGTAGAAATATATGTAAAGAAAACAAAAGCGATTTTCAATTTTTTTTTTGTAGTTTATTGCACTTTTTTGCAATTTATGTAATTACTATGGACTTAATGCATACATACTATTAAAATATGGGCTATAACAGTTGAATTGATGTATAGCAACTTGAAATAATATAAAAAATAATATAAGCTCTGGTGGACTTGGTTCTATAGTAGGTCTTAAAGGGTTAAATAAATATCGTCAAATAATCGTGATCTCAATTTCAGTGAAAATAATCGTGATTATCATTTTTGCCATAATCGAGCAGCCCTACTGTATTGCCATTCACAGTGGCTGCTAAATGAAAAGCATGGTTTGTTGACACGATATCTGCAATTTCCTGGTTAGCAACAGAGTCCGGAGTAGCATAAAAGAGTATTTGAAGAAAATGGAAAACATAAATGAAACTCATAATAAACTTGATGGAAATCTGTTTTGTGGGCCTCAAAAAAAATCAGTTGTCAAATACGTCACATTGTTAAATCACCTGCTGTATCAGCTGGGCTCTACATGACATCTGTATCTTTATAGCTCAGTATTTTCTACAAAAGAAACTTGTGAAATGTTTCTACAGAAACAGACGGATTAATAAAGACAATTCAGAAAATTAACATAAATGTCAAAATTAAAAACTGCTTATTTCTCAGTAAGGAACTACATGATAAATTTCCACCCTGTGTATAAAATAGTAATTGATTGCTTTGGCCTAATGATAAAATGATAGTTCTTCACACTAACTAATAAATGCTTGTAGCTCCAGTAAAGAGAAATCAAGAGGAGAGCTGGAAGAAATCCAGGCAAACAAAATTTGCCACCAAAAAGCTCTTGTGCACTTCCAGTGCCCAGAAGTATAAAGCTTTGACTTATTCCCTTTAATGTCCACTTTAACCTGTGAGACACCGTCAGTGTCGTCCATCTGTTTGCCTCACAGGTGACACATTTTGAGTTGTGGTGGACTTTCTGTCAATTTCTTTCTTGATTAATAGTCTGCTGTTTTTTGGAAACCACTATGATGCGAATGCTGAAGTGCGTACTTTGTCTGCTCTTGTTCACCCAAAATGAAAACTTGCCGTCATCTGTTCAGCCGAGGTCAGTCATACTTTACTTATCGACTCATTTCGGTTCCACAGCAACTTCCCTTCATTGTGTCAAAGCCATCACTCTGCAGCTCGGGCTAATGTGTGCACCTACTTCGGAGGTGTTTATAGCTCCTATCCTGCAGGGATACATTTGAAAACAGCAACTCAGTGGCCCGCACAGTCGTCGTGTGGGCTGTGCACACAACCAGGCAAGCGACCACAGGCTTCAGTGCCTTCTTGACTGACATGATAATAAGTAGTTAATGGCTGAGTTTTCATTTTTGGATTAGCTTTTATTTCTAAAAGCTTGTCATTTGGGACAGTTGTTCCTTTTTTTCCTCTTTGTGTTCCAGGACACAGTGAGCATGTTTTTACAGAAAGACATGACTGTAGTGTTTGTTGAGCCATTTCACTTCATCTTTCAGGTGCCAATCATCAAGCTGACCGACCAGAGGACTGACGTCAAGGTGGACATCAGTTTTAACGTAGAGACTGGAGTCAAGGCTGCAAGCTTCATTAAAGGCTACATGAAGGTGAGAGGTGCCTTCAGCGCTGGAGATTTTACATGGTTGGCGATACAGACGGGGTATTACTTCATATATGTTTGTGTGTCAGAAAGATTACACACAAAACTAAGCCGTTTTTCATCAAATTTGACGGAGAGCTGGACAAAGCATGAAGTTAGAACCCATGCCATTTTGGTTTAAACCAGATCACTGTCCCTAAAACTGCAAATTAGATCAACGGCTTTGGTTGAAGATGCATTTGTGATTTGCGGACAGAGCTGGGATTCTGAAGCAAAAACACATGAAAGTCACTGGAAACTGTTTGACCTTTCTTTGATGATCACCCCTCCATCTTAAAGCACTCTCACAGGGCTTCGCTGGCTGCTGGCTGTGGATGTTTCTCCTATTTTTGCAGTAGCACAAATAACTACCCCACTCACACACTTCACCAGTCTGCTGCCTGGTTGTGGGCGCTGGCTTTATGGAGCTAGGAGTGGCCATGTTTGGTGTAGTGATGGACTGACAAGTTGTTAGCTAAATGAATTAGCTCACAGCAAGGCATATTATTTGCTGTTTTTAACATGGGGACTTGCATTGCTGCTGCTTACTTATGAGCAATGTGTTAAATCGTACCAGGCACAGAGGGGGAGACTTAGTTATTTCCTATAATTTGTTGTCTAAAGTCAAACTTCATGGCTATGTGTAGTTCTGGTACTGCTTTCTTTGTTGACTTAGACCAGAAGGCAACAGTGCACAGTAGAAGGAATACACTCAGATGGAGGAAGAGAGCAGGAAAAGGTCATGTTTTCATATTTGAATTAAAAAAAACCACTGGAGGAGTCACATAATTGCTGTCTTGCAGTGAGGTGGAAATTGGAAATTCCCTCTTTGAATATAGCTTACCCAGCAGTTTAAACCATTACTCTTTACTTCACTCCAATCTTGTACCGGCTCATCTCATGTCCAAAGTGAAGCTGGAACAGAACCAGCAACATCGCTCCGTCAAGCCCCCATTTAACTCCGTCAGAGTCTGTGTCCTGCTGAAGCTCTTGTTGCTAAATCTGCACAGCAGAGGTGAGTTTCGCACAGAAATTCCTGCTCGAGTTTGATCCATGCCCACTTTAGTCACAGTTTTAGGAACTAATGCGGGAAAGGAATTCCAGGTGCCGCTGCTGCCGCGAGCTATCAGATTTTGTTGGGGCTTTTGTTTGCTGCCGTGGTTGCATGTTGGAACGGCGATCGCTGGGAATGCACGTCACAGCGAGAAAGCCTGCTGTTGACAACCACAAACTACACCAACCCAGAGAGCTGATGTTGTGAACATGTGGGTGTGACAGACTCGGTGCAGTCTTGTCATTGAAAGGTCACCTCAGAGTTGATTTTCACATGGTGGCCAGTAGGGGTGCAACGATACTCGTATCGATATTGAACCGTTCGATACAGTGCTTTCGGTTTGGTACGCATATGTATCGAACAATACAAAATTTTTCATTTATTTTATCAACTTTCCTTCTGACGATGCTGTCTGTGTTGAGCGCTCAGTGGATCTGCGCTCGACAGTGCCGCCTAGGTGGAGTAGTCGAACGCAGATTCACTGAGCGCAGGGCAAGCTAGCAAGACAGAAGTTAAGCTCTCCTTGCAACATGGCAAATTGAACCTCCCCCGCCCTCATTCAGATCTGGCGTTTGGAACTATTTTGGTTTTCATGTGACGTATGACCCTGAAGGTAAGCGCGTCATGGACTAAAGTAAAACAGTATGTTGGATGTGCCACGCAATGCTTAATTACATGGGTGGGAACTAGTGTGTTAGCACAGTTAGCTCGTTAACGTGTTGGCGGTCTAGCCCCATGCACGGGGCTATCAGGGGTAGCTCGTTAACGGAGATTTGCCGTGTTGTGGCGTTAAGGTCATTTTAACGAGATTAACCTGAAAGCACTAGTGGGAACACAACGAATATGACTGCACATTTACTCCGACATCATCCTAGTGCAAAGACAAGTGGAAGCAGACAAAAACAACAAGCACGCATGCTACAAACTTTAGCAGAGTCATTTAGACAGCCGTTAGCACATGATTCTCCTTATGGGGACCTGATATGTTTAATATGCTGCTGAGAATATAGCCCAGAAGAAGCGTATAGTATAGCTTTTATTTTGGAAAGAGCCATTTCTCTGTAATAAACTCTTTTCCACAGATGAGTGATTTCTCAATCAGATACAGGGCTTGCAAAATCGCTAGCCCGACGTCCCGGGGCTAGCGATTTTTTTTTCTGTCGCGCTACCAAAATCTATCTCTGCCCTGCCCGTCGGGCTATCGTAGGAAGGAAAAATATATGTCAATGTTTTTGCATTCTTTCGGAAATGTAGCTGGGTAATTATGTCATTGGCATCGGTGAGCCACTGTCAATATGTGACATATTGAAATCGCGTTTGAATTTGCGCTTGTTTTTTGCTTTCACTTTGCAATCGCGCGAACTGTGTATAGAGAGCGACAGCACTGATTGGTGAGTGACGATAATTTGCGCACCAATTCCTCTGACGTCGTCTTATCAATCGTTAGCTTACTATGCAAACATGACAAGTGAAATCTCCCGCATCAAGCTTAAACATGTGAGAGGTTGATCGCGCAGAGAATCGCTGAGCTTATGTGAGTGTGCGTGTAAAAGCAGCAGGAGATATATATTTTAGTTCTGCTGAGCCAAATAAGACAGGTCAGGGTGAAGAAGTGACAGCCAAAGAAAAGCTTACCACAAAACGGAGAAGTTATGACAAATCAGACTATAAGGCAAAAAGAAAGTGCAGCTTTATGGTTTCATGGACAAAAGAATTTCTGTGGCTGCAATATGACGAGCTAAATAACCAGGGCTGCACATAAGTGGTCCGCAGGTGCGCATTCGCTGTCAAAATAAAAAACGCGCACAAGATAAGAAGTTGCAACGCGTGTTTGCGTACATAAGATTTTCTGGAGGAGGACAGACATTTGTTTAGAACTCTTAAAGATGTCGAAGAAGCTCCTTTAAGCAATTACTGTGATGTTCCTCCACCTCCAAAGAAATGTCAGGAGGAGTCCGAACCACAAAAGCGTATTCTCGGAAAAGTAGTTGCAGGAGGTGAGCTGGCTTCAAACAAATGATGAACGCACAGAGATGTGGTGCAGAATGTGCCGTGAAAATTTAATAAATGACAAATTAAAAAGGCATGAACATTGTGTGTTTTTTTTTTTTGTTTTTTTTGTATCGAAAAAATATCGAACCGAACCGTGAATTTTGTGTATCGTTGCACCCCTAGTGGCCAGGTGCCTCAGTGCATCCCGCAGTCTTGTTCTTACTCCTTAAAAGGATATTTGAAAAGTTGACAGCGCTCTGCTGCTCCACTGGCACAGATACACACATTCTGCCAGGAGCTTGTGCTGCCTTTTCAATTGGAAAATCAAAAAACAGGTCCCTCTGGATTATCACACGCAGCTCATATTGATAGCTTTTTAGAAAGTTTGGCCCAGTTGGCAGCTTGACAGTTGGAAGTCGGGGTTGTAACAATTCGTACATTGAACGACTGAAAGTTTCTGTATTTAGCCTCGTTGACTTGCTAATAAAACATTACTTTCAGTAGTAATTAGGGCTGCACGATTTTGCATAAAATGAGAATCACGATTTTTTTTTTTTTTTTTTTTTTGGCTTAGAATTGAGATCACGATTTTCTCACGATTCTCTTTTCCAGTATAAATATTTATTGCATTTATTAACTGCACATCAACTTCGTAACAGTTGAGACTGAACATAAAAACAATAAATCAAGGTTCTTTATTTGTCACATGCATAGTTATACAAGTATAACACACAGTGAAATGTAGCCTGACACGCTCCTCGACATGTGCAAAAATTGGGTGTGTGTGTAGAGGAAGAGATATATATATATATATATATATATATATTTTTTTTTTTTTTTTTTTTTTATATATATATATATATATATATACACACACATACACACACATACACACACACACACACACACACACACACACACACACACACACTGGGTGAATGTGCAGTAGTAGCAGCAAGCAGGTGAATTCTGTACATTAATATGAATAGACATCTGACTATTTTACAGGATAGACAATATAAACATATTTAAAGTTAAAGGAATTGAAATGTACATTGTGCCTTGGTTTAGTGTCTGGAAGAGTCCTGTCCCAGTCAATTATAGATGTGTGTGTTTAGGGCACGGATGGCTTGGGGATAGAAGCTCCTCTTGAGTCTCTCTGTCCTTGCCCGGAAGATGCGGAACCTTCTACCAGATTGCAGAAGTTGGAACAGTTTGTTGCCAGGATGGGACGGGTCCTTCAGTATCTGCGCTGCTCTAGTCCGGCATCTCCTGGTGTAGGTGTCCTGAAGCGGGGGGAGAGCAATCCTGCAGCAGCGTTCTGCTGTACGGATCACTCTCTGGAGAGCTTTTTGGTCCTTCACACAGCTGTTCCCGAACCACGATGTCATGTTCTGTGTGAGGATGCTCTCCACAGCGCCTGTATAGAAAATCCTGAGGATCTTTGGAGAGACCCTGAACTTCCTCAGTTGTCGTAGGTGATACAGGCGCTGTCTAGCCTACATCAAAATACATCAAATAAACATAAAAACAAAAAATGCGGTACAGTCGTCGTCTTTTTTTCTTTTCCTTTTTTCTTTTTTTTTCTTTTAAATCATTGTCATTTGGAAATGAGATCGCACATAAGTATGAATCGAGATTGCGATTTTTTTTTTTTTCTCTAACGATTAATCATGCAGCCCTAGTAGTAATCGTCTCTGTGTGCCTGCAGTGACTGTATAAGGATATCTGCTATTCTCAAATCAAATCACTTGGATCACTCAAATCATACAAAGCCAAGAACAAAAACGGGAAATAAAAAATTGACCATCCAAATTTTTAACAATATTTATGATGAATATAAGGAAAAGCATTATATAAGACACTTCTTATTTAAAGTTGACTTATTGATTTGTTGGATTCGTTTGGGCTTGTGTTCTAAGTGTTTTGTTTTTTTTGGGTGGTTTCTGAATCGAGTTAGTTTACAAGATTAAACTGCGTCACGTTCAAAGTTGTTCACCGTCGCTTTGGATCAAAGCACCAGCCTGTCCCTGAGTCATGAATTACGCTGTTCTTTAGACAAAGATTCACACCCTTAATGAGATAATGATTGACGTGCTAGTCAGCCGCATCATTTCATCTCTTTACTTATAATGTAGTCTAGTCTCGTTTCTGACTCACAGTTCTACATACATCTCATTAGAAACCCTCTTTCTCCTGAGTGATTTATGTAGCTGGAGCCCAAGTCAATTTGTTTTTATCTGCGTTTACTCTTAAGATGCTGCGCTCTGGTGTTTTCTTACTTAATCTATAGTTTGAATCAGGCATTTTCATTCCACATCTGTCCCTGCATTTTGCTTTCAGAAGTATCCAGTGCTGCCTTACCTGATCTTCGTGCTGAAGCAGTTTCTGCTGCAGAGGGATCTAAACGAAGTCTTCACCGGGGGCATCAGCTCCTACAGTCTCATCCTCATGGTCATCAGTTTCCTACAGGTACAGGGATGTCATGTCACAACAGTTGAAGCGGCTTATGTTGTAGTAGTGCTGCTTGATAATATCGTGTGCGTATGTATGTATTTATAGTGGCATAAGCAGAAGTAGTTTATTAGCTGTTGTAGGACAACATAAAATCGAATCTTTATTAGTGAATCAGTTGTCTCAAATACACCCTAATCCAGTCTCTTTCCTTTCTCTTCAGCTCCATCCTCGTATCGATCCCACCAACCCCAGTGAGAACCTGGGAGTGTTACTCATCGAGTTCTTTGAGTTGTATGGCCGTAATTTCAACTACTTGAAAACAGGGATTCGCATTAAAAATGGAGGCGCATACATAGCCAAAGAGGAGATTATGAAGGGCATGACAAATGGATACAGGCCATCCATGCTCTACATAGAGGACCCTCTACTTCCAGGTGTGTGTTAAATACCATCTGTCTCTAAACAAATAAGACTTTAAGCTACATTTTCAGGTTGGCATTTATGATCCAAAGAGAGGTCATCAGTGTGTCATACTATGTTTGATTTTAATTTTTAGTATCATTTGGTCTTCGTCTTAAGACTGGCACAGCAGCTAAATGTTTAAACCAATTACCGGTACTGTAAAGGTTTAAACCTGGATTGATTTGTTTAAAACAATAAAATGATTTTTAAAGATGCTGTATATATGTAAAACAGACATAAAATACAAACATTTGGAAAACTTTTTGAATACTTTAAGATATTTTTGCTATTGAAAGCTACACTTAGCCAGTTGGCTTTAATTTAGCTATGCTATGTTACTCTGGTAGTAGTTTGCAGTGTTAGATGATAAAGTAGCTTGAAAATAAAATGTTAATTCACTATCCTGATCAGCCCAGGGAGTGTATTAACTGGCCTTATGTTACTAAGCTGGATAGCTCACAGTGTTGGAGCTTAGCTTATATCTGTGTTAGAAGGCATGCTAGCATTAGCCAGAACAGAGCTAGCTTATAGTCTAATTATATTCTCCAAATGAAATGAAAGTCAGTCAAGAAAATACCCTGCTGATGTTATCCCAAGTTTGTCCTTGTCTTGAATCATCTACGCATTTGGCCAGAAGGGGCTTTTTTTTTTTTTCTGGTTAGCATTGGCTAACAGTATACTACTCGCTAATTTAGACAATTTGCTAAATACCCATTAAAGCAGCTAGCTAGTGTGGACTCTTTGGGGAGAGTGCCATCTATTTTCGGTTTTGTCTTGTGTTGAGAGCTGATATTTGCTGGCTTTAGTGATTAGTGTTCTCCTTTGGCTAACGTTAGCTTATTGGGGTGCAGGGAAGCTGAAGAAAAGCGTTGAGGCATTTAGTGTAGGGCCCAAATATCCCATTTCGCATTTCACTCACTGACGGTTTATTTTTTTAAAGCTTGTATTATACAAAATGCTGCATAGTGCACTTTAATCACATGTATTTTTATATAGCTCACTCCAATACTCTGTCCATTGTGTGTTGAATAATACATTTTAAGATCAGTCATGCTTTGCACATTTTGCAATTAAGTAACAAGTAGTCTAACAGCCACTAACAATTTTAGAAAATGTAAAACTTGGTTAAAACCGGTTAAATTGGTCTTTTTTTTAAATTTTCCTCTCTTGTTTCCCCTCCACCTTGTAGGTAATGACGTGGGAAGGGGTTCCTACGGTGCCATGCAAGTCAAGGAGGTGTTTAATTATGCTTTCATTGTCCTGAGTCATGCTGTCTCCCCGCTTGCACAGTCATATCCCAACAAAGACTGTGAAAGGTTAGAATCCAAGCTATTTAAAAGTAATACTGACACCTTAGATAAGAGAAGAGCTTTTTTATTTAAATGTTTCTATCTTGTCCCTGCAGCACATTGGGGAGGATAATCAGGTTGACCAAGGAAGTGATCGACTACAGGGAATGGATCGTTAAGAAGTGGGGGGGCAGAGATTTGGTGCGACCGGACAACAGAGGTACAAATCATTGGGTTTCAAAACAAAATAGATGCAGTTTTCCCATTGATGCTATTAAATTGTCTCATTAAGCATCAGCTTTTTTTTTTTTTTAAAGCATGATATATATTCTTACCACTAATCCTATTTCTTTAGTGTCGCCTCCCAAAAAGCCTGTGTCGGAGCAAGAGAACTGTGTGCTGGGAGGTGGTGTTGGGTCAGATGAGCAGCAAAGGGATTCGGTGTCACCCCACAGCGCGGACTCTCCCATGTCCATCTCCAGCCCCCAGCAGCACTCGTCCGCCTCATCAGTGTCCTCACTGTCTGGGTCTGATAACGTAAGAAACCCCATGCAGGACGAGTAACAATGCACACGCTGCTTGTATTTCTGATGTAGTTCTTGAAAAATACCAAACAGTTTCTTCTGATTATGCACTTGACATCCAGCATAAAAGGATAATGTTGCCACACACATGACATAACTACATGCCTCTTATCCTTCTCATGGTAGTACAGCTTAATTTACTGTCATTTTATTCTAGTATTCAGATGGAAATCTGTTGGTTTTTTTTGTTTTTTAAACAATGTCCTCTGCTTTGATCCATCAGGACTCTGATTCAGCGTTGCCATGTCCCCTCCCTCCACCAACCCTGCCAGCTTACCCGCCTTTCCCACCACTCGGCCTAGCTTTAACTCCAGGCCTCAACATGAGCACCGGCAAACCTGGCATGGGGGGACACCATCTGCTCATGCCTCCAGGTTCCCAGGTAGGCACGCAGCCGTGGCGACAAGCAGCAGTGATTGCCTGAATTAGCCTGAATTTTACATGTAAAATGGGATTATATGGTGGTTAAAATTTGGACTACAAATGAAGCATATTAAATCAGTAGGGTAGAGAACAAGACATAAAATGTGCAGGTTTTTGCAGATTTTTATTGCAGTATTCGATTAAAAAAAACTAAACTACTAGATTTCCAATTTAAATTCTGCCTCTCTTTCCCCAGGCTCGCGTCTCACTGCCCGGTGGTCTAGCAATGCACTCCATGCCTGGCAGACAGGTGTGTATAGACACCGGGCTCCCCCCCTTCTTCCACATGCACCCCCCAGCCCATGCTCATGCCCCTGCCCCTTCCAGCCCCCAGCCTCCGCCCAGTCCCCACTCCAGCCACACACATAAGGTAGGCGCTGGATGCCACAACCACACTCAAATGTACTACTGAGACAACCTTGTCTCCCACACAGGGTTTCCACTCTGTCATTTCATTTCTTGTCTCTCTTCAGCGTCTTCATCCTATGTCACGTTTGTTATTTCTCATTTTATGCTGTCATTATTCTGTACAGGTTACATAAAAAATTCAATTGCTATTTGCGTTCCAATAACTAATGACATTGCTGCAGCTGTGATAGTGCTTAAAAACTGGTGATTTTCTTGTGCCCGCCTTTATGCTAAACCAAGCTAGCTTTCACCCATATGCACCGCATTGGTCGCTGCTGTTTATTGTAATGATTGGTCAATGTGGCCGCTGCATTACCCAGAGGGAGCCACGCCTCCTAATGCATGCACCATGAAGAGGTTTGGTTTTGATACAAATGCCAGACATCTATTTATGGAAATTAGTTTTCCATACCACATGCATAATATATCTAAAAGGGAATATGACAAAATCTGCAGCTGGCTTTTCATATGTTTTGGTGACGTTTAAAAAGTGGTGAGTGCTTTAAAAAACCGACTGCGAAATGTAAAAACTGAAGAGTTTACTTCAGCATTGAAATGACTCGTCTGTCCAATCCTGTGAGTCTTTATCGTTTGGAAACGTTCAATCAAAGAAGAGCACAAATAATACTGTGCGCTTTTTTTTGTTTGTTTGTTTGTTTGTTTGTTTTGTTTTTTATTTTGTTTTGGGGTTTTTTTCCCCCATATTTGTCACACTTAAATGTTTCAGATAACTGGAGTATTAAAGGGGAAAAACCCATCCAAACCTACCTAACATTATGTGGAAAAATGAATTTAGTTTCACTAGCCACACTCAGGTCTGATTACTGCACGACCTGATGAATCAAGATATCACTTAAAACATATCCTGTGTAACAAAGTGAAGTAGGCTAAACGATCTTAACAGGCAACATATCATCATGCCGTGAACTAAAGAAACTCAAAGGATGAAACGTGGAGTCGTTGCCGTCTATTATTTTGGGAAAGGTCACAAAGACATTTCCAAAGCTTTGTGAATCCAGCCAATTAACTGTCGACAAATGAAGAGAACTTGAAACACTGATGAACTTTTCCAGAATTGGCTGGTGTGCCAAAAAATAGTCTAAGAGCCTCAAAAACTCATCTAGGAGGTCTCAAAAGAACCCAGAACAACAAATACAGAACTGCTGGCCTTACTTGCCTCAGTAAGAGTTCCTTAGGAAAAACAAACGCTGCCAACTAAAAAAACAAAAACGTTTGTCCCACATTTTTGAAAATATTCTGTGGACTGACGAGACAAAAGTTTAACTTTTTGTAAAGTTTGAGCCCATCAAACATCAGCTGTGGAACTAACACAGAATGTTATAGAAAAGATCATCATTGCAACAATCAAAACATGATGGTGCTAATGGTGTGATGGTCTGCAGCTGCTTTACAGCTTCAGGACCTGGATGACTTGTTTTAACTGAGCACCATGAACTCTAGAAAATCCAGAAAAATGTCCAACCATCAGTTTGTCTTCTGAAGCTTAAACACACTGGGGTTATAACCAGTTTTTTTTTTTTATTTTTTTTTTTATGGTTTTGGAGTGGACTAGTCTAAGTCCAGACTTCAGTCTGATTGAGATGCTTTAGCGTGTCCTTAAACAGGCCAGTCATGGTGGAAAACCCTCTAATATGTCTGAATTTAATCCTGGAAAGAAGAGTGGGCCAAATATTATGTTTCTGTCTAATATAAACATTTATTTGATCTGAATCATGTGCATGTGACAAATATGCAAAACAAAAGAAACCAAGAAGGGGGCAAAGACTTCTTCACAGCAGTGGCAGCTTGTATATCGGTTCCTGCCTTCTAGCTCCAGCGTGCATTTATTTCTGTGTTGTGGTTTTGCTCATGTTTAAACACAGAGCAACCACAAAGACAAGTCCGCACACAAATCTGTTGGGATCACAGCCTTGATCCTTTTCCCTCAGTCTTCTTCTCGTCTCCATCTCTCTTCAGAACGGAGCCAAGTTCAACGGGAAGGGCTTCCACAATCCGCCACTGGTCAACAACGCTGTTATGGCTAACCGTGGATACGCGCAGCATCACCGCAACACTTGGCGACGCAGGAAGAGGGACAGCCTGCCGGTTAGCCTGAGCAGATAGAAACCTCTCCTCGCCGTTTCCTCCGTCTCCTCTCCGACTGCATGCCGTGGCTCTTCGTTCGTCTTGAAGGAGGATGGACAGGCAGACAAGAGGATCAGAGACCAGCAGTTTTTACTCCGAGGGCTCCTCAACATGGAACAGCAGCCCTCAGCTCTGCATCTTCCTCCTCTCTGTACCTTCCCTCCCCTTTTTCTTTTCTTTTTTTTGCATGACTTTAATTCCATTTTTTTTTCAGTATTGTGTCTTCCTTCTCTGCGTTCAGGTCGGTTTACTTTTTTGGAACTTGGCATTGACAGTATTGCTAAGCTCACTTGACCTCATCTCGACCCTTGCAGCCAAGCTGCCCACGGTTTCCTTTTTACAGTTAATACACTTAAAAACAAACGTTTTTTTCTCCATTTTGTGCAATAATGTTATTTTTCTTTTTGAAACTAAAGTAAGAGCTTATTTAATTTCGTGTGTGTGTATATGTAAAGGCATTTTTATACTGTTATTTTATTTTTGTAGAGTTTTAAATTTTGTTTACGAAACCTTTCCCCAGGCAGCATCTCTAAAGTGTGCGTGTGTGTGCGCATCTCTCCATCAGGTTGAGATGGACCCAGGTTGAAATGACCCCTCCCCCCTCTTCTTCTCTCCTCTTTAAATGTGGTCTGCTCAAGGGAAGCCGTATCAGAAAAGCATCATCTTGGCATTTCTGATCATTTCTCTTCACATGTTTTCTGAAAATGGGCGAGGTGGGCAACAAAAGGGGGAAAAAAATTCCCTATGGAAGTTTTGTTCCTCGCTCCAGTTTTTCTAAGGCATGCTGAGGGAAGTTGAGGGAATGAAACTCTGCCCTGGGATATCCTTGAAGCACAGGGAGAGGCTCAAGTTTTGTGGCCACCTGAGGATTGTGTGACTGCGCGTATCTGTTTGCGTCTCTTACGGGAATGTGTCGTTGTCTCATTTTGTCGTTTGGGGAGAGAAGGCTGGCAAAAGAAGGCTGGCCTGATAGCTTTGTCTTGGCCATATCTCTCTCTGCCCGGAGGATTTTCAGCCTGTTTTGTTTAGGCTTTGTGTTCATTTTTTCTTTTAAAGTTGTTGTTGTTGTTGTTAATATTTTTTGTAGGAGCATTGGGGGCCACGAAGGCAACAGCTTATCTGACTTGAATTAGAAGATCAAGAATGGCGGGCAGAAAGTCACTGAGCTGTGTCAGAGGGGGCGTGGCTGTGGAAAATCTGATCCCAGGGCTGAGGTCAGCTCTCGCCCGCAGCTGTAAATTAGCGCAGACCAACACTTTAGATGCTCAGCGATAAGGTTTCTCTCCTTTTTTTGTGGTCCTGGACAAAGGAGGAGGGAGCGAGGGTGGGGGCGTGGGGGGTTTCTTCCTGAACCAAGGACCCTGAGTGAAGGGAATTTATATTTTGATTCCATTAAGGAATCTTGTGTGTATTCGATTGCCAGGTACTTCCGCTAATTGTTTGCAATGCCTTTCTTTGTGTTTACTCGGGGTGTGTATGTGTGTGTGTGTGTACCACGTTTTCCTGCGAGCACACCGCGCCACACAAATACACACGCTGTCGAAGGCTGTGACTCGCCCAGAAACACTACACATGCCGGTGTTATTACTATGCAAGTGGATTCTTCTAATTATTGTGTCAATTCTTGTATTTTATTTTTGGGGTTATTTTTTTCCCATTGACAAAAAAAGCAAAAAAAAATGTATCCCAAAAAAAAAAAAAAAAAAAAAAAAAAACACTCACTGCTTGTTGGACTAGAGTGATGTTACTGACTGTCAGACTTCTCAAGCCAACACATGTAAACTCTAGCCCCCATCCCCTGACCCCCACCCGTGCCACAACTCCCTTGTGTTTGTATGAAGGCCATGATGTGTTTAAGACCCAGTATTTCTGCATCTTGTCAGTCAAATGTAAGGAACAAGGGGGATGTTAATGTCAGTGGTCGGGTCTGAGTCTGTGTAGTGTGTGACATAGTGAAACGTGTGTGAGAAAGACTCGTGACTCGCCACCACAGTTGAATTTTTCTTTTTCTTTGGTAATCGTACGCCCGACCGTTCACGAACGAGCGCCACCCACAGAGCGACTTGCTCTCTGCAGGTGCTCTTCGCCAAAGTGTCCGTCAACAATTCCTGACTTTTTCTTACTTGCACGCATTCACTGCTGTTGCACTGTTTTGTTTTGGGTTTTTTTTTTGTTTTGTTTTTTGTTGTTGAACCATGGCAGCTCGGATCTGTCGGTCAGAACTGCACAGCAGGTTTGCTGTTTTGGCCGATAGGTCACAGGGCAGAGCTGATTACGAGCTAATCATAACCTCCAGCTTACAAATTCCTTTCATACTTAATAAATTTGACCAGAAAAATCTAAATCATTGACCAATGGAAAGGGTGAGAAGTTCTTGATGTTTTCTGGCGTATACACTCTCACCCTATTATTCCCTATTACATTTTTTTTTTTTTTTTTTTTTTAATAGATAATTTTCCGTCTGTAGGGTAATAATCAGAATTGAACATTCAGCACTGACTTTCATGCAGTTGTAGGCCAATAGTAATTTGATAACAAGAGGAATGAAGTTACCCTTTCAAACTGAGATTCTTACAGCCGCGTTTTGCTTCTAGAGCTCAGAACCAGCAATGATTTGAGACAAAAAAAAATTAAATTGGGGATCGAAAGCTGTTGGCTCTGTTAGAGTTGCCTGCAATCTTAACAGCAAAGACTGACATGCAGTATCCAAGGAAGTCTATGGAATAAAGAATTGTGCATCTCAGCGGTCCGGTGTAGCCAACTCACCCTGTCTACTTTCCTTTGTTCCTTTTTCCTCACCAGAGGGTCAAAACAATTAGGTCAAAGCTTCAGTTGCGCTCTTCCACATTGTCCTGACTTCTCCCGATGGTTTTAAAAGTGAGGCGGAAAAGGAAGCGAGGAGAGTTGGATACTTGACTTGGACCGCTGAGATTTTGCCATACACATGTACATGTAGATGCAATGTAATATTAACACCCCCCCTCTTCATTGCAATACAATGAGGGATTTTAAACTGGTGGCTGCTGTTCAGAGAAAGATGGCAGCCCCTCAGTGTCCTGGCTGATTCATGTGAGCAGTGACCCTCGAAATGGACACCAGTGGCCAGAGGGAACCACTGCCCAGCTTTTCTTTTTTTCTTTTTCTTTTTGTTCTTTTTGACATTTTTATGTAAATATTTTTTTTCTATTTTATTTTTTAATAAACATTTTAAAACTGCTAGTCTGTGTGTGGGTTTGTCTATTTGATTTAAGTGTGAGTGACGGAGTCACACAAGCCTAGGAACCGGTTTGCAACCACCAGTTGCTAAGAAAACATGAATATTCCTCGATTTCTGCGAGTTTTCGAGTGGTTGCTGGGAGAAATTGGATGAAAAGGTCACGCCTGGATTGAGTGGAAGATGTCTGCAAACACTAAATAATTGCAAAGTGGTAGTGAACCTGAAAAGTGCTACGTACACAGTCTATAGTGACCATTTGCCTTCCAAGTAAAAGTTGCCCCTTTTGAAACTGGTTTCTGCTGTAAGGCATAATTTGATTTTGAAGTCAAAATAAGTTTCCTGTTTTGTACTTTAAGTTTCTCTCCCTCTTTGTTAGTGAGTATATGCAGACAGGTCATCAAGCGCCTCAATTTGCTATTTACCAAAGCAGTCACAAGGTTTTTGGTGTAGCATCCTCTTTGTAACAGATTTCAGTGACAGCCAGCAACCAGTCTCTAACTGGTGGAGAACGGGGATCTTTCCAGGACCTTCCCATGCTGTTCCTGACACATCTATAGACCTGTGCAACTGAGGCCTAAGGTGATGGTGTAAAGAGATTACTCCATGTTTCACAAGGTGGTAAGAGCTATCTACAAAGTAACCCATTTGTAGCACCGTGGCAACCGTACAGTCTTTGGTTTGTGACTTGTGATTGACAATGACTTATTAGCCAATAAGCGAATGATTTCATAGCACAGAATATGAAACATGGTATGACCTACATTTACTAAACAGACTTTATTTTCATTCAATATTCCTTCAAACAAATGACTGAGCCCCGAAGCTCAGCAGAATAATGTTTACAGAGATAAAGTTGGAAAGTCAATTTCCCATAAACTTGTACAGGACTGGAGGTTTTTTTTAGCAACCATAGATCTCCATCTGGCACCCTTTAGATAGAATGCAGATTTAACGTATTTCTGGATTAATTTCTCTAACCCAGAATGTACAGTTGAGGCCAAAAGTTGATATACACCCCACATGGGCATCGGAGTGAAAGTAATTTAGAGCTTTTAACAATTTCTGTGATCAGTTCTTTTTCCAGAGTGGAACAATTGTACAGCATACATCTTTGCTCATTTTAAAAATGAAGACTTGGGTCCACAAATTTGACTTTATTTTGATTTTCTCTAATCCACACGAGGTCCCGGCTCAAAAGCCACAACATAAATATGGAGACGAACACCAGAATGTCAACGCCAAGATGTTTTATCTTAAATTACATAGCAAGTGGGCTGAAATACCTGGTACACCAAGGCAAAGACTAGTGAGCCTCCCTGAAAGCCTGTCTCAGGTGTGCCTTTACCCACACCTGACTAGGTGTGGTCAGTTAGCAACAGCTGGACACTCTTGCACTGCCGCTGCAGAGGGGCGTAACACCTCCACCCTCGAAAGGGTTCCACTAGGACCCCTGAATGAATTAAAAGCCCCTCCGAAGCCTTCTGGTTCTTGATCCCCCAAACCTGAAAGAACAGTAAAAGCTAGCAGAAGCAGAGTGTGTCCAATTTGGAGGTAGTCGGCCTCCATTATTTCATCCCCTTTGTTTGATGTACCTCTACCACTCGCAGCAAAACAGACCCAGAGCATGGTACTGCCACCACCATGCTTGACAGCTGATAGTGTTCTTAGATTCGAACGCCTCACCTTAGTCCTCTATGGATTCTGAGGCCAGATAGAACTTTTGCTTGCATACAGTTATTTGATCTGATAATCTTACTCTGTAGTTGTTTAAAAATGTCTGAAACAGACCCTCTAAACTTGTTTAAATCTCTAATTCTCCTCCTTAGTTCCTCCCTAAGCTACTGTTCTCAGTATTAATCCAGTTAGAGCCGTCAGATCCTCTTCACAGAGGCAAAGAGAATTTACCATTTGTAGTAAGAAGTTAATAGTTCTGGCCTTTTCAAGTTCAGTCATTGTAGAGCCTTATTAAAAGATTTACGTGAGTGTATGTATTTATAAATTTGTATGTATAAATTTCACTTTGTGTGGATTAAAGAAAATCAAAATAAATTCAAACTTGTGCACCTAGTTCTTGTCTTTTTAAAGTTATAAAAGATCTATGCTGAGCAATCGTTCCACATTTCAACCAAAGCATTAAAATACCAAATTACCGTGGCATTCATGCCCATGATGAGTGGGTTTAAACTTCTAACCACAGCTGTAAATTTGTGGTTCTGAGGGAGAAATGTCAGCTAGCTGCTGCTTGGGCTGAAGAAGTAGAGTGTAACGTGTTTAAAAGCCTCTGGTGCTCATACAACACTGATGAGACTGGGTCAGTTGACCTTACATGTGACCCTTTGTTGATATAAAAACAGATTAGTGCACCTTGCCGTGTATCTCTTCACTTGCAGTTCCTTTCATCAACACTGGGTGGAGCACACTTACTGTTGTTTTTCAGAACTGGATTAAGCTAAGGTCTCCGAGGCATGGCTGCTTTGTGCCTCAGCTCCCAGGAGTCTTCAACATGCTTAAGCCCCAAACCAAAGGAAGGAGTGTTGATGCCGTATTATCAGCTTTTGTCAGCTTCACAGGGCCTTCAATAGAAAAGTGTGTTTTTGCTCTGGATTAGGTGCCCTGTCTGTATCCACAGCAGTGCTTCCAGAAACAGAAAATCAGCCCAGGCAAATCTGAAATGCCTGCCGAGGAATGTTTATGACATTTTCCTTAACCTCCCCCATACGACCTCGATGTAGTAATAAAGCTGAACATAAGAGGACGCTTGAAAATAATTGACTTTTGAGCTCTGGTTGAAGAAGGTGAAAGAGGTCAAAATGTAGGAGCATTTCAATTGTAAAGAGAGGAGGTGAGACACTGGATTTAGTGTTCAAAAGCCATGAACAGCACAGACAAAAGAAGTGGAGAGGAGGTTAGGACAGAGCGCCCTTAAAACGACAAAGAATATGCCTATGCAGCCTAGAAAAGGCTGCATTCTCACAGGAAATAAACAGAAAACATTAAGAAATAACTCGGGTTGCTGGATGTGGTATATTCATTGCCAGCCAGCCAGAAGCCAAGGGTCTGTCCTCAGCCAGAGCTGAATTAAAACACTTTGACTGGAAAAGCTTCTTGCATAGCTGAATGAACAAGTCTTTCACAAGTCAGTGATTAGCTGCTTCCACACTTAGCCTGATTTTTTTTTTTCTTTTTGGACAGAAATAGCAGGATAGAGAGAGAGAGGCTGGAGCATAAATTCACGATAAAGTTTCTTTCCTGGCTGTAAAAAGGTGTTTATTTGTAGGAAAAAATACCATAAGTTTAAAAAAAAAAAATTATCCTGTAGACTAAATCTTTTAGAATATTGCTCAAAACAAAGCATGTCTACATGTAGCCCACATCTTAACCTATAAGAACTCAAGACTGCTATTATCAGTATTTATTACACTGGATCAAATGACGGTGAAGTTTTCCTCATAAGGAGCATTACAGCATCTTTACAGTTATCGTGTTAATTTGAAGGCCCCAATTTTTGCACTTCCCTTTGCAGCTTTGTTAGAAGCAGTGTAATATGGCTGCTTTTCAACCTGACTGCACTATGACCTAGCACTGCTAGCAGAAGGTGAGCAATGCTAGCTCCAAGCACAGTTTGCTGCTAGCTTGTGTACATGATGGAGCCATTAGCTGGTTATGAGTCAAGTATCTTTGTAGGACAATTTGGCTGGCATAAAACATCCATCTGTAAAAAGATGGATGTTGCTTCTGGGTCTGAAAAGTGCAGAAAGTGCAGAAGCTAGCCTGCTGAGTGTTATCCTGCTGCTAACTTGATCTGTGGCCTCAGTGTACACTTTTCTGGCGGGTTCATGGTCTTACTTGCCATTCTCAAGTTTTGCTCAATCATTTTGTAAATCACAGTCCCCATTAGAGTCAAAGGTGATAGTAAAATGGGGTATGCTTTATGAATGATAAGTTCAGACTGTATAATAATACGGTTGGCTATTTTCTGAGTCAGAGCTAAGCCTAGTTTTTTTTTTTTTTTACCTTTTTCAGATTACTCAGATCATTTTGGGCGGCCAAAATGCTCAGCTCAAGGTTTCAAAACATGATTGGGGAATGACGTGGGGGTCTGTCTTTTGTATACAGCCTATGTACACTGGTGACATGCCCATTTAAATTTCAAAAATCAGTCCATTCACATGAATCTAGGTCAGACTTTGTCCCCACTATTCATATCATGAACATAACAAAAGTGACCTCAGTTGGATTTTAATGGAATATCAGCAAGCTCTTGTTTATCTTACCTCCTCAGCTAAGTTTCACTCCATGATTTCCCCCCCTGCAGTGGCTCTGTGGGACACTGTGGGAAGTGTCCACAGACTGAGGGACTGGTGGTCTAAAACTGGTAGTAGATGAGTGGTTTATCTGTTCTTTCTGTGGTTATCTGTTGATGAACTGGTGACCTATGCAGGGTGTAGGACACCTCTTGCCCTAGAATAGGGTCCAGTCTTATTCAGGAACCTGATTTTTAAAAGAAGTTGAAGATATTTTATGTGTGTATGTAATATTTTATTTTAATACTGGCTCCTAAATCCCTGGCTGGGAAGGAAAATTGAAACGTAATTAGTGCAAATTGTACACAGCTTGATAACCTGTTAAATTATATCACATATGCAGTTGAATATGTTTATTTTTTTTTTGTTTATTGGAGGCTTTCTGATTAACGTTGTGCTGTTTTGCATTGTGATGGTTTTCAAACATAAGAGTGAAGCTTACACACATTGTATTCACTGTTAACTGTTTCCTACAGAGAGATCCCCGCCTATAGCATTTAATGATGCTGTGAAGCTTCTGTATTTAAAGACTCCTGGGAGCCTTTAAACTCCAAAATTACTCCACTTCTCTACATTCTCTACAGTGGGAAACTGAGCCAAACTGCATTTTAACAAGCCTCGTAAGAAACCCCAGAACAATAGCAATCAAATGCAATTAAAAGCCTGATTAGTTCAGTATTTTGCCAATTCCCAGAAATGCCGTGCGCCTCTCAGAAAAAAAAGCCATTTTTGTCGAGGGGATCAAATGCAAAACAGACTGTACAGGGTGCTTTAAATTACCGTGTTTGATTGAGGAAAGACTTTAATTGAGAAAATTGCATACGTGTGTACTTAATGAAGCCCACGGTCGTCTATTCTCCCTCCCTCACTCCCCATCACTCTTCTTCCCCGCCACCTTCCTGACTTGATTGCTGCTTATCTAGGTCATCTCAGTGTGTTTTAATCACCGCTGGGTTGAGCTAGACCCAGTTAGGTGATGAAGCCCACTTTTTCTTTTCATCAAGGTGGGAAACTTGGTTTATTTCTAGCGCAACATCATTGTTTGTGCTGAGCTCCATCTGGGATGACATCCAGTTTTATCAATAATTCAACATCCATGGCCTAGATTGTTTTTTTGCCTTTGATACTTTCAGATGCTTTACAGGAGATACACGAGCCAATTCTGTTTTGAGCCCTTTATGAATATGTGCTTCAGTCCACATGACAGGATTGACCTCTATCACTGTTGATTTCCCATGTGTGACTCCATGCAAGAACAAGTCACATCTATGAATGGATGTGTGCTTTTGCTGTTCTGCTGCTCTGCTTACAGTAGTGCTGTTCTCCAATAAAATAATTAATTTATGGCAACTTATTTAGGGCTACATACTGAACTTATATAGACAGAAAAAAGTATTGATCCAATACTAATACCAACATGGCTATCATTATTATCGATATTTGGATTGATCTGTCCACCTCTAGTTTACAGCTGTTACACACATATCCTCTTTGTTCTTCCTGAGGTCACACTGCTCTCAGTTTTTAGACGTGCTTCAGATTTCTCTCGGCAGGTATGGAACTCCAAAGTGTTCAAAATTAAATAAATAAATAGGTCAAGATGAAATAAATAACTATGTGAATAAATAAGACACAGATATGTAATGTGAGAATGATATTGTGAAATCATGGAACACATTTTGAAAACAATGCTCATTATTGTGAAATATATTGCATTCTGCTATATAAATTTACTTATTATTGTGAAATATTATTTCATGGTCATTATTTTTCACAATAACAGAGATTATTCCTGAGGCATTTTATTTATTTCCAGCCGTTTTTAGTCCAAAATGACCTTTTTTCAAAGTCAGTCTTTATTTCAAAATCCCGTTTTTCCCGATGGCCTATTTATTTCATAATGCGACTTTTCAGCAGAATGACTTTGTCTGTCAATCAATGTAAGTGGGCTGGACCTTTGCACCTATTGGCTTATCGTTTACCATCGACTAGTTTTCCTGGATACCGGCTCCGCGGACGGCTGCTACAGCTAGCAACAGCGTGCTAGGTCAAAAGTCACGGAGGATGGCGGACTGGTGTGAACTTCAGCCAGTTCTGCTCATTTAAGCAAATCAGAGAGGGATCATTTACCTGTAGATACTGTTTTGAGTCGTTTAGATGATGTTTCTGAAATGTCTGGATGATAATTGCTCTTCAAAATCTTAGCATCGATGACAGCATTGTCGAAGGTTTAAGAGCAATTCAGCACCGTGTTCGTTTGGAATACGCCGAGGAAGAACAGTCTTCAAATGTTGGCCGTCCACGTCTAGAAATCCCGGTGCAGCACTCAGGACTTTAGTGCTGTCCGGGATAACCATCGGGGTAATTGCCGATACGTTTTCTGTGTCTCCGAGCACAATTAGGAGGGAAATGACGGAGGAAGGTCTAAGGTAAGTTTATGCTGTAATTGAGCACCTGTGTGATTCTGTACACAGCATTGTTTAGATGTTGACCTTAATTATGACGTTTGACAATGAATTATTATCGCTTACTTTTTTTTGTTACTGTCTAAAGTGGGGCAGCTACGGCTAAAGCTATCGGCGCCATCTCGGCGTTGAGACACGTTTAGCAGTGTTAGCTGTTAGTGTGTTAACTCTGAGACTGGGGTCAGTGGAGCCTGTAGGAACCTTTTACACAGAGAGTAGACCCACCAGCTTTCCACAGTCTACTTACTTATCACATCTTGTTAGACAACAGGGTCATTAGTGCTTTAAATAGTACATAGTTGAATGTTTCATTGCTGTTTGCAGTTGATTGTTCTCTGATAACGCATAACAAGGTTGATGTTAAATAGCGAGTTTATTGAAATGGTTTTGTCTATTTCAGCAGCATTATAGATATACTTTCTCTGGTGTCTTCGGCAAAGCTAAAACAAGAATACATTTACATCCTTGGTTCTTTCAGCATTAATTGGAAAACTTTGAGATTTGCTGTGTGTCTCCCAAGCCATTCTTTTTTGATCCCACCTGTCAGGTATAGATGGCAATACTTTAAACAAAGTTAAATTTGTTATACCTGAAGAGAACCAATCCTGACCTAGAATGGGTGAATGAATAATTAGTTGGTAGCCAATGCCTAAGCAACTCACATAGGCCCTGGCAGACTCAATAAGTCCATCTAGGAACAGCTGCAGGAAACACCTCTTCAGTTTAGATTTAAAACATGTGCATGCTCTTTCAGGTTGATGAGGATTATGGTGTGGACTGGACAGGACAACATAATCGCCGCCCATCAAATGAGATCACCATTCCTGAGATTCAGCTCCCAGATGCACTGAATGAACAAGACCCTGCTGTGCTACCAATACTTCAGAATCACTTGTAGAAAGACATTATTACATTTAATCAGTTTCTATGTCAGGAGGATTTTTTTTTCTTTTATTTTATTTTTACAGCTTTGTAGCTAATACTGACTCAAAACAGCATAACCAATTTCATTTTCAACAAAACAGTGAGTGGCTATAAAACAGGATTTGTTTTATACAGCTGTCACTTTAATGATATTCATTTCTTGGTTGGATATACAGTACATGTCAACTCTGAGCAGATTTAATACAATGAACACAGTATAGTAGTGTAACATCTTAATTCAAATAATTTTTTCTAGAAATTTTTTTTGTATCAGTAGCGAGTATAAACAAAACATATTGTGTAATTTATAATGTACAGTGAACAACTGATTTTGATATCTGAACTCTTCATCAGTTTATATTAAAAAAGCCATAAATGCACACCTGTAGTGTGTATTTTTCACTGTCAAGTGTATTAAAAAGAACTAGAACTCACTAGATTGTCCGTTTCTTTGAACACCGAGTACAGTAATGTGATGCAAGAAATAAGAAATGGTCTAATTTTACCATGTGGTTATGGAATCAATCGTAAACCAGACCAAAACCTGAGTCAGTAGAGTTGAGACACACCTGAATGTCCATTAGAAATGACTCATAGGTACAGTAGTGTGCAGGAAGACGTAGTACTTCAAAACCGGTGGAAGACTTTGGAAGATTGCTGTTGACCACTCCCACAGTCCTGTCCAAAACTTGATGAGGGCTTTTTGTTGTGCACAAGATGCTGCAACAGAAGATTGTTTTAAACTATAATGACATCCTATATTCATTATTTTGAATCTTTTACCATAAAAGATGACCACTTACATACAGGGCACCAGACATTTTTGCCCCACTCAAATTGCTGTTGTAGCTTTTATAGATATTTTTATGTTAACAAAGCTAAAAGTAGTCTACATACAATTCTAGTGCAACTGATAATGCCACCACTCTTATGGATTGCATGGAGCAAATAACAAAACAAAATTATACTATAGTGTAGAGCTGGGCGATAGAACGATAACGATATGTATTGCGAAATAACTTTTTCTCAATAGAAAAATTAAACTATTGCGATAGACCTCACCGCTCTTGTCCTTTTTATAAAAAAATAAATAAAAATAAATATCGTGATATGAAAAAATCTCATATCGCCCAGCTCTACTATAGTGTACTTTGTTAATGACCCAAGATCACTGGACTGTATGTAATTTACCAAAGTATAATCAGAGAAAACCAATGGCAAAATACCTATCGCAGCAGACTTACCATTTTCAATGAAGGACCGAAGGTACCCTGCCACTCTGCATTTATCCTCGAGAGCATTCCTCTTCTTCCTCATCTTCATCTTCTGTGGCAGGCCACAGTCATTTTATAGCTTTACTTATCTTGTAGTCTTAAGAGCATCAGCAACATTAGGTGTATTTTTATTAAATGTAACCCAACTGTTCAACTAACCCAAGCATACAAAACAGTATATTGGTGTTTTGTGTCAACAATTAATGTTCATCCTTCATAAATTAACCAAATAGCTTTACTATTCAGATGTTAAAAGATGTGACCTGACCTTACCTCACGACAGGGAGCAGTCTCTGATTCCCTTGGTAAGAAAAGAGGAATGATGTCTGATCTTTCTGTCAGAAGCGGCCATACCATGGTTTCCTTAAGCCCTTTCCTCAGCTGCTTGACTTGACGACTTGTTTGTGTTATGACCTACAACGGTGAGACCAAACCAAAACTGAAGTTGGAGTCTGTAAAGTGACACACACTTTAAATGTTAAATATTTAAAGAACATCCACTATACTAGTAAAAGCATTTTCAAATTATACCCACTTACAAAATCACTACGTTGAACTAAAATTGCTTTCTTTTCTTTCACATAGATTACTTGTCTTCCATATTAGCACAGAAGATAAGCCACTTTAAAACAGTCATGAATAACTATTACCTACAACAATGTAAATAGTAATACAGACATTAACCCAGAAGACAATTATTTTCTCTTACCTAATTTATAGAATTCTTTGCTATGATAAAAAACAGTATTAAAAAAAATCTGTGACTAAACTGATTAAAAAGCTCATATTTGGCAGACAGACAGACTAACCAAGCAATAATAACATATCGTTACTTACCCTGAACAGCGTTTCGTGGAGTGGAGCTAGCTGTGATAGCGTTAGCATTTGCTAACGTTAACCCTGTGCGGTTGTGATGAGAACTTGGACCAGGGACCACTTCATCTCCAGTACACTGCTGCAATACGCAGACTGAGGTGAAGACGTTCAATCTAAGCGGTTAGCAAGTTCTCTGAGTAACTCAGAAACGGACTTGTTTCCTGCAGCCATGCCCTTCACAAGAATTGATACACCTGTAACGTTATTCGCGCCCAGTGTTTTGCATTTGTCGGTGCCTTAAGTTTATTTTGAGCTGCATACTGCCGCCAGCTGCATAGGAGACGCATTGCACCATTAAACCTAAATCGACAATTCATGTGCTATTACTTATGTCTGAGTAAAGGAGCAACCAATCACACAACTGGCTCCGCCCTGTCTCTCTTGATTGACAGACAAAGTCATTCTGCTGAAAAGTCGCATTATGAAATAAATAGACCATCGGGAAAAACGGGATTTTGAAATAAAGACTGACTTTGAAAAAAGGTCATTTTGGAATAAAAACGGCTGGAAATAAATAAAATGCCTCAGGAATAATCTCTGTTATTGTGAAAAATAATGACCATGAAATAATATTTCACAATAATAAGTAAATTTATATAGCAGAATGTAATATATTTCACAATAATGAGCATTGTTTTCAAAATGTGTTCCATGATTTCACAATATCATTCTCACATTACATATCTGTGTCTTATTTATTCACATAGTTATTTATTTCATCTTGACCTATTTATTTATTTAATTTTGAACACTTTGGAGTTCCATAGGCAGGCACACTGTCTTCACGCATCCTAATTTTTCATTTGATTGCGAAAGATAAGCTAAAAAAGAAGACCGAGGATGTGTCTCCAGACCACCAATTAAAACTGCACAATAAGGCATGAGACACTGGATACAAAATTACCCAGAGATGTATGGTCACATGTTGAGCCCGCATTGGTTTTGGATCTCCAAGAACCCCCCCCCCCCCCCCCCCCCCCCCAAAATAAATCTACCCTACCATTAATGCTGCACAGAGGAGAATCACTTGTTGGCTGAGGAGTGGTGTGTGCTCTATCACAGCCGCACAGCGTAAACACAGACAGCGCCACAGGGGGGAATGGAACGACGAACCACGGGAGTGCGAAACTGATCAGGAACAAAGGGCTGCTTTCAAAAAGCAGCATAAATTGATATTTAACAGTGACATCTGACATATGAGTAATAGAATGAGGGGGTTTGTGATGAAAGAATTATTTTCCAAATCTGAAGTTCATAATATAAATATATATATATATATATATATATATATATATATATATATATATATATATATATATATTTTTTTTTTTTTTTTTTTTTTTTTTTTTTTCTTTCATACTTTGTTACTTTTCTTAAATGTTTTGGCCTGTGGTAGACTGGTGGTGTTTGGTTTATGGTTTATTCTCCTGCCTTGTGTGTTCACTGGCCTTTTCATTATGTTCAGTTATTCAGTTGTTTGGACCACAAACAGGGCATATCATGTATGGTGGCATCCACAGATATAAACTTGAGTGTTGCTGGCACATTCAGGTTTGGAATGATTTGGGAAGGTTTTTGTTCAACAAATAAAATTTATGTTGAGCAGGAGTTAACCACAGCAGTTTCTCTTTAAAAAAATATTTTTATTACTGTTTATTTATTTAAATAAATACAAGATACCAAAGATCAGGGTGTTTCACATTAAACATGGGAACAAACATATAAAACCTGTACAGTAAAAAGAATAAATGGGTTGTATGTACCAGTCACGATGTCTTAGCATCTTGTCACATTTTTGTTATATGTACATGGCAGGTAGGATAAGAGGAATCTGCTATGGATGTAACATGTAACACCTTTTTTTTGGAATGGGGTCAAATTGTTCTTAAAGGTTGATTAAATAAACAAATATTAAACATGCAAACCTACCTTATCTGAACAGCTGACAATGAGCTGGCTAAACAACAGCAACAGCTGGTTATAAGATAAGGTCATGCCAGCTAATGTTAGGCTCAAATGTCCTAAAAATTCACATTCTCTTTGATAAACAGTTGTGAGAAACATCATGTGAGAGTTTATCACAAAGTATCTAAGTCCTACAACATCAGATCCACTTCAAAGAAAGTTTCACCAATGCTAGCAAACAGCAGCTAACAGAGGCTAATAGTAGCTAACAGAGACGAACAGCAGCTAACAGTGGAGAACTGCACCTCACAGAGACGAACAGCAGCTAACAGAGGCTAACAGTGCTTACTGACAGTTCAGCTTATCCTCAACAACTCACCGCAGTATCGCTGTCACCAGTCAGATGTGAGATTCTATAAATTATTGAATCCTTTCCAGAGTAAACACAGTTGGATGCTTGTCACCTGGCACTGACATCTGAGGTAAGAAGTGGACTGACAGCCTTCCGCAGACAGGGAGAAACTTCAGACCCAGTCCAAACAGTAGTAGAAACACGCTGGCTGTCTACAACTATCATGGGCACATGCTGCATTTAATTTTTTTGATCTCTCTTGGATGACTAAGATGTGCTGATCCTACGTCAGCCATCATAGCTAGGATTATGCACTTGAATTGGAAGGGGTAAAAAAACAGAGCTCAGTGGATTGCAATTTTCAATCTACTGACAAATACAGGTGATTTAGCATCATGTTTTAGAAAATTGAGCCACTGATTTATTCATAATTCAGTCTTTCCAATTAAGTTTAAAAAAATTGTGGCTATCAAGATAAAAGTCTTGAGGTGTTTGGTTAGGGTTGGTGAGAATAAGTCACCTAGGAGTAAAGTACAATGCTGGGCATCCTCTGCACACGGCCATAATCAACCAGAGGAGTCTGTTCAGTGACAGGTTGTTTCTCCCAAAGTCAAGAATCAACAGACTTAAAAACTCCTTTGTCCCACACGCCATCAAACTGTTTAACTCCTCTCCTGAGGGGAGAGAGAGGGGGACAACTAAGCTGCAGTGCCTTTTCACTGTGCAATAATTTTTGTTAATATCCAACAGTGCAATAGACTTCAGTACTTGAAATGTGCAATTCCCTTGTATTCTTATTCCTATTTATTCTATTTGTCCCTTTTGTATACTCTGTATTTATATATGTGGATATATGGTATATTTCTGCTCACATTCTGTAACTTCTATCGGTGCTGTACTATTGGAAACTGAATTTCCCTGAGTTTTATCTAATCTAATCTAAGCGATGGTCTGGTCCTCACACATGCCAACATGGTCCAAAGTTCCCAAAGAAACTTCACAAGTCAATGGTTTGTCAGGTGTTGTGTTATGACCCTGTTCCCATGCAACTTAAAAAAGATCATCTTTAATGCTATCTCTTTTTTCACCATCCCCGCCAGCTGCGTTAAACAAGTCCTTCGGACTTTAACGCGAGCCTCTCGGTGAGACTACTAGACGTACACGCTCATCTCATAGTGGCAATATCTCCCACAGCACATGAAGGCAGCCGAGCCCTTTCGTCCTTTCTCCATCTGCTTGTGTTGCCTCGTCTTCTGTCCTGCCGCTGTGCCTTTGTCTGTATGTGGGAGGGTGTTGATGCAGAATTAGTGTGTTAAGGCCACTCTTCCTCAGTGTGCTCTCATTCTGTCAATGCCTTTGGCGCTTGATGAGTGCGTGTATGTGTGCATGTCTATGTTTGTGTGGAGTGGGTAGCAGGTGGTGAGCACAGCCACACCTGTTGTTAATGTGATGGGGAATAAAACCTTATATAGAAGACTCCATTTATAGCACAACAAACACATGTGGATCATGATTGTGAGGCAGTTTTATGACACAGGAAAATCAAGGATCATAGTAACGTCTGTGACGTGGCTTACACTCATAACTGCTGTGTGTGCGTGTGCACGTGTGCTTGACTTCATGTGTGCTGTTGTTTCCTTACATTTCTCCTCTTCCTCTCACACTTCACAGTTTAGTTTCTCCGTGGCCGGGAAAATAAATGCGAATCCCTTATTTGAGTAACTTGCTTAAGGGCGCACATGGAAAAGAAAAAAGCAAAAAACACAAAGTTCAAGTTTGATAAAAGAAAATAACACACAGTGCAAGCTGTCTCTCACTTGCACAACTGCACACGCTCTCCCAAACTGTCATGGGGGTTGCGTGCGCATCAGCGTGCGTGAAGCTCAGCTCAGCTCATTAATCTTGTCTTTGTTGTGCCAAGGAAGACCTAATTAGATTACATTGCACAGCTTAGTATAAGGGAGCTGAACAGGAAGTCTATCATATGTTGCAATATGGCATGTGCACGCACAACACACACACACACACACACACACACACACACACACACACACACACACACACACACACACACACGGGGATAAAACAGATATGACGCAGAGCAGAGAACGACTTCTTCACACGTTTTCCAAATC